CTTCGAATCGCCTGTTCAGCTCCTTTCCAAGTGACATCCTGATGGCTCGTTGCCCACGTCTGGCTCCAGCTCAACGCCACAAGTGCTCAACAACCAAAGCCGACATCACGGCAACGGGACGTATGGGGATTCACGAAGTTCGCCTCCTTTGCATCACCTTGGGATCTGCAAACCAACGCCCATGACACCCCTCTACTCGCTTCCTGAGTGGATTCTGGCCAAAAAAAGAGCCTCCTATTCTCTTTTTGTTTTTGCCACGAAAAAAGTCCAAACGCAACTAAAAGAGCGTCCTAAACTTTTTGTTTGCAACGAACCTGGTCCAAACCCAACTAGTTGTCAAGTCCGGTTTCGGAACTCAGGGAGTGAGACTAGGCCCCTTTCTCCCTCCAACCGAACTTCCCCCCACTTCGACGAGAAACGGCTCGCCTCCAGGAAGACCGGCTCCGTCAGCTCGATGCCCACCTCTCGCAGGTGCTTTCCGGGCGAAGGCTCTCTTTTTCAAGGCCGCGAGTCCCGCGCTGTGTTTTTTTGGTTTCTTTCTTTTTCGCGTTTCGGCACATATAGGTGTGTCCTTTTAAGGCGGCCCCCATCTTTGTTGGCGGCTTTCCTTTTGGTGTTCCTTTGAAGCGCCAACGAAAGGGGAACCCTCAAGAAATAACACAACCACATGGTGTGAATCTTTCTTGACCCTCTGGTGGACCTCAACATTCCTGTAGGGATGTACGTCCATTGTGGATCTGCAATCTGGGCGTGCCGTTCTTTGAGCGTGCCCTTTTCAGCTTGGTTTGGAAGGAAGCCACGAGGAATGCTCCGGACAAACACCGCTTCGCAGTTGGTAGGTGGTTTATCCCATTCATGCTGTGGATGGACGAAATCCATTTCGCACCACTTGGAAACCACGGTTGAAACCATTGGTTGCGTTGGAATTTACAGGGGAATCATCAGAAACCCAGGTTTCTTCGGCGGTGAGAAGCGGATCTTTTCTGGAGCCGACCATCAAGGGAAATTTGGGACTTCTAGAATACGACGGGCCAACGGTCCCTTGATTCCATTTCTTGAGAAAACATTGGTTGGTCTCCAAATGGGGATACCCCTCAAAATTCTGCCCAGTTTCTGAACCATCAAGTCTCCCCACGTTGTTCAGTGATCGCGGCGAAGAAAGGGACGCCTTTTCGCAATTGACATTTTTTCTTGGGAACCCCACCAAGGAAAACGGGAAGTAGAAGGTGCACAACTGGGTTTGCTTCCCCTTTCTGGCAGGTTGTCAGTAGTGCATCAGGGAAAGATCCCTATGAGCCATTCCGAGATTCCTTCCCTTGAAATGTCTTTCTGAGAGCCAGCAACCATAAAATGAAAGAGTGTTTCTACAAAACTGTGACCCCTGTTTTGTTGCTGTTTGAAGGGAAAACTATAGGAAAGTGCCAGCCACTTTAGGTGTTGTGTTTGGGTTCTGCTCGTGTTACCCTCCCATCCACAAACATGGAACCTCACGGGGGGTCCTGGAAGACCATCTTCCTTTACAAGGGAATTCTGGCGGGTTCCAGGTTAGTCCACAGGGTACATGTGGGTAAAACTCCTAGCCCTTTCTGTGGCGCTATTTGCTGTGACTCCACATGTGAACGTGTTTACTTTACCGGGTACCTTGCTATCACTTACCGGTGAACTTGGTATCAGAAGCGCTGGCCACTTGCAACCAGCACGTCTCTCTCCCCTGCGAGCAACCACCCTGAAGCCTCCTGCGTGTGCTCAAACCACTCCTCAGCTGCCTTGAAGTTCTGGGTCCTTCGCAAAGAGGTTTGGTTTGGGGTGATCACAAAAACACACTCCTTTTCCGAACTGTTGAACGCAAACCAAAAACAACGTCGCACAAATCACACATCCAAATTGTCTGCATTGCCAAAGCAAAGCAATGCGCTTTGAACAAGTCCAAGCTTCTAATCGATTTAGGCTCAAAGAAGCACCTGCGGTTTCCCTGACCTTTCAACATATTCCCACCAACCGAAAATAAGGGGGGGGGGGTCGAAAACCTCCCTCGTGGGCAAGATCGCAAACCTGTGTCTGACGTCGCGATGATTTGCCCAAACTCGTCAACCAAGCGAATAGGTCATCTAAGGGTTGATTCCCCCTTCTCTTCTCATTCCCTTCCAATAGTTAACTTATCAGAGTCTTGTGCCATTTCCGGCTAAGACACTCCCACTACCAGCCTTTCTGGTTCCGAGTTCCTTTCCGGCATGGTTGCGGAACATAACCCTGTCTGTGCGGAACCCAAAGTGGCGTTCCTAAATCAGGCAGCAACCCTTAAAGCCCAATCGTCCGCAACGTTTTCTGGCGCTTGCTCGCCTTTGGCGACTCTGGGCCTTTGGCCGAGAGTTGTCGAGCGCCCGCTCTGCCCAAATTTTGCCCTTTGACGCCTTGAGGAAGCCGCGAATCCAATCTTTGACCAAAGAATACTCTCTGGTCCATAATCTTGGAACCCCACAGGGAAAAAAACAAAGCAATCATGAAACTTACTGTGCAAAATGAATCTGGCACTCACCAACATAGACCCTCCTGGGTTCTCATGGAATGATGTCAGTCTCAAAGGGTTGAGGCTGAACTGCGCACAAAGGACGCCTCACTCGCGCGCGTCGCACTTCAAGCTCTCTGCTTCGCCTGGTCGGCCGAAAGTTTGGTGGACATGGGAGTTTCAAACTCCCAAAACGAGGACCAACCGCAAACTGTGGAGCTCTAGCTTGTTTCAAACAGGTGGATTGTTAGTCAACCATAAGTCGCATTCAATCTCCAACCCCAGAAAACTCATCGGAACTCCAGAATAAAGAAAAATCCCCACTTCATCTCTGCGTTGAAACATCCAGTTGAGCTCCTTAGAACTTGATGTCAATTTGTCCCATCCACGTCTTTTGACCATGGGCCGACCAAAAATGCGGACCCTGTTGTGCAAGTCAATGGGACCTGTCTCCATGGCCTCAAAAAGATGTTTCTGTGACTCCAGCTGGTCTCCATGGATGGCACACTTGAGGGTCACAGCCTGGAACATGTTACAACCAAACGAATCAAGGAATCCTTGGATTGGTAGTGTTGAGGTTTCCCTTTAGCAGGGGTTCCAACCCCCAACACTACCAATCCAAACCACCGATTCAGGGTGTGCCAACACACGCCCACGTCAAACCAACATCCATCTCACCTCTTCCCAAGGACCCCAAAATTGGGGCAGTGAACGCGCTCTCTCGGCTTGTGCGGGGTGATTCGATGTCCCATGTACAACAGAAGGCAAAACACACACACACAAGGCCAGAAAGCTGCCATGCTTGATCATTGCAGCGCAAATCTAAGGACCCCTGAATAAAGGAAACATATATGAGATATCCCGAGCGATCTAAGCCCACTTCAGAAGGCAAATATCCCAAAGAAGCCCTCCAACAAAATTCCACTGGGACCAAACAAAGTGGCCAAGTAAGGTCCAAGACCAGATCCCCGAGAATCCTGGTTCTATTTGCCATAGGGACATCAACGGAAAGCCACCTGGACGTGTGCCCCAACTGCAGAAACTGCAGAAAATCAACGTTGCTTCAGGGTCTTGGGGAGTCCTTCCGAAGCAGGAACACCATATTATGCAGATTCCCCACCGGGCACATAGGGACCAAGGACCCCAGGATGCTGGGCCAATACCCGCATGCAGGCCCTGTTTGTGTTCGCAGGGGTCACCAGATGTTCGCAACCAACTACCTTGGCAAACTACCATTCTGTTAGAAACTGGTGGCCCACCACGCACATTGCAGGGACGACCCCAGGACCCCAATCGGCTCCCCAAGTCTTTCCACAAACATCGCGTGAGGGAAACTCATCGCGTGGCCTTCGCCTTCGGGGCAGAGGGTTGCACCACCTGCGCTCCGCAGCGGGACCTGGGCTATGGAGAAACCGCTACCCCGCTGAAAGGGACTTAAAGGAAAACGGGATCATGATGGAATCAAACAAATGCGGCCATGGGTCATAACCTATGCCGATCGCATTTTGGGGCGGATGAACACCCATGTACCATCTATTCTATTGTTCACCAGGGGTACAGGTTTTTGACCCACAGCCATGTGTATATATATATATGTTTCCGGCCTCCGGTTTGCCAGCCCCACCCCCGGTAGAGAGGAAGTTGAATTGGTTTGAGCTGGGTTCGATTGAGTTGTCAGAAGCCCTTTCTCTTCATGAATTCGAATCTGGACATTGAATTGGAGCAGTTAATTGAGTTAGCGGACATTTGATGCAAGCAAGTCGTAGTGATTGACGAAGCGCATCATGCGGACAGGTTTTCCATGCTCACAGGAAGTAGACGTCCCCGCCCCATTGATGTCCATGCTGTTCTTGCCTGAGTGAGCTGTCCAACTCGGTCTATTGCCAGCGTCTTCTCCTCGTTGGAGAGGCACCGGAGCCACTCGCATGCGAAGCAACAAAACGGGTCCGCAACGCTGGCGCTTGGGCAGGGTCATCCATGAAATCCGCCCGGGCCACCGGAGCGCGCATCAACAGGGGGCCCAAAACGCTGATTTGGCCAATGAATAGCCAAACACAACCTCCCTCCCGCATGTCCAAGCGGTTCTTACTGTCTCAGCCCGGTCTCGCGCCCATTTCTCTCCATCGCCGACTCTCTCGCCGACTCTCGCGTCGCATCGAGCCCGGCTTAAGTTGTCCGGGCGACCTACGATTTTGGCCAGGAGCTTGTGAACCTGCGCCAAGCTACGGAACAAAGGTCACTGGGCTGCCCGTTTTCTGATCCGCTCAAAGTGACTAACTCTTAGTGGGTTAAGTTCGGAAACTACCACCCCAGCCATAAAAGACTTAAGCTGAAATTCTGTTTCATATTTGGCCATGGGTCAAAATCCAAATCGTACCCCCAGTGAACATCCCAATCCCCACTACAATTGGTTCTAAAATGTGGTGAATTCACCTACCAACCGAAATGGGATCCCAAAACGGTTTTGACCACCACAGCCACATCGACCTTTCGCTCAGTCGGAGGAGGAGCTGGAGTCAGACTCCTCCCACACCGGCAACTTGTGATGCTTGCCCTTCTCCAGGCACCTCGCGCGAGCCGATGCTAAACTCTGATGGTTCTAGGACTACCTTCCAATTCCATTCTTTCCAGGGATCCTTCTTTTCAGGAAACCATCAAACACCAGGGGACACATTTTGAAAAGAACGATGATTGAAAAGAATGGGGAATCAACCCCTAGAATGGTTGTAGGACTCCATGTGACTGGAGTCTAATCTCTGAATCCTGCAAAAAGTTGTCCACTTTTCTTGGGGGGGGGGGGAAGGGCCAGTTGCCGCAAACAACACAGCAGCCAACCTGGCTAAGTGGCGCCCACCGCCTGGTAACTCTCGAAACCCAAAAGTGGCGAAGGTTCCCTTCGAGCTGTGGTTTCGTTGCTGGCTGAAAGCAAGGGCACACCGATGGGGGAAAAGAATGGGAATCCCGGGGTTTCAACAGCATTACCCTCTCACCAATTAAAATGGAACCTCAAGGGGGTGTCCTGGAAGACCATGTTCCTTTTAAAGGGACACCCAGTTAGGTTCCATGCTCATTGGTGCGGGGGCAATTGAAGTGAGTAAAACAGCCGGGAAAATGCCTCCCACCCTTCATGCGAGACATCCTTTTTTGAGACCCGTTCACAAATCAAACCATGAGCTCGCGCAGCCTCGTGAATTGGACATGTGGAAAACCATCACGCGGCCTCACACTGCGATGGTTGTGTGTCAACATCCGGAACTCGCTTGGGGACGGCTTTACCACACGTTATGACGCTTCACGCCGCGTCATCGCTTTCTTTCCGAAAGGTCCCTCCATTCACCAAAATGAGCCACAATCAATAATATGGTATGAGCCCAACCGTCTTTTCCCGCGAAATTCAGTGAGCCCACCCCTGCCGAAACGGGTCCGAGCACAGCCACATGCTGGCCGAAGCTAACATTTCGAGGAGCCGTGCACAGAGCTTGGTTGACGTCGGAAGGGGAGCAAAAAACCACCTCAAATTTTAGCTGCTAAGTGAAGAAATCCACCGCTAAACGTTTCCAATAAGCAAGAATGTGTCAAATGTTTCCCAACAACCACGTGAAGTGCCGTGTTCGAAAAGGAACCCGCCGTTGTTTTGTCAAAAGGTGCCTAGGACATGATGTCAAAAGAAGGCCCTCAAATCCCTTTGCTCCTTCCGATCTCCATGGGCTGAAGGCTCGGAATTCCAGCCGCGCTCATTCCCTATTTGGAAACACCAGGGCTTCCCTTGTGCCAGAACTCTGGAGCAAGGTGCAAGAAAAGCTCCAAATAAAATGGGGCCCAAGAAATTCCAGCAAGCCAAGATCAATTCCCAACTGACGGAAATGGTCTAAAGGCAAGGTCACATGATGTTTAGTCAAGGGAAACGGCCAACAGGCAGCACCTAAACAAAAAAACAGGGTTCCCGCGCAAGTGTCCACATTTCGAACTCACCTGCAAGCATCACCCCTTCAAACAGAGTTTTACTTTGCACTGGCAACCAAAAGCTTCTTTCCTATCCAAACTGCATAAGCCACAAGGGTTGCAACATGGTCGTTTTCCACGCGTCCTGACGCAAGCCTTGCAACACGCTTCGTTTCCTGACGGAAGGTTTGCACACGCCGGGGCCCGCCCGTTTCGGCCGGCGACCGCCCAGCGGTCCGAGGCGCTTCTTGGTCTTCTTCTCCGTGCGCTCTGCAGACTTCATCAGCTCCTAGGCCCAGGCATGGGAGATCCGACGGAACTTGGGGAAGAAAATCGCCCACAAAAAACGCGTCGGAAGCTTCTTGTCTGGGCTGAAGGCGCTTGTGGCTTGTAGCTTGCACCTTTTTTGTGCATCACCGCAATGCAACCTACAGTTTACGCGTCATAAGTTGTCCTGGCGGGCTACCAGGTACTCACCATGTTAAGTACCCGATCCACTGCTTAAGCAGAGATTGCGTCTTGCAGCTGAGCTGGGCTGGGTCAATCCAAAGCAAGGACAAGCGGCCACAACAGTTGGGATTCCGTACCACACTGGCCTTCAAACCCCTAGTTCCTACGTTGGCAAGTAAAAGACCTGAGCGCACCACCCCATCTCCGAGTTCAAATGTGCGGCTCTTGCTTTATTTTGCTTCCCGGATTCCTGGGAAGGCTTAGACCCTGCAACAGTGAGTATGCTGCTTGTTAACAGGAAATGGAGGAGGCAACAGGCAAAGGGGCTACGGATTCATTTGCTTCAAGGTAAGCTTTAAAACATGTCATCTGTGTGTGCCACGACCAGAACCTGGTCGTTGCCTGTAAAGTCAGGTGGGTGGGTGGGTGGGGTGGGGTGGGGTGGGGTGGGGTGGGGTGGGGTGTGGGTGGGGTGTGGGTGTGGGTGTGGGGTGTGGGGTGTGGGGTGTGGGGTGTGGGGTGTGGGGTGTGGGGTGTGGGGTGTGGGGTGTGGGGTGTGGGGTGTGGGGTGTGGGGTGTGGGGTGTGGGGTGTGGGTTGTGGGGTGTGGGGTGTGGGGTGTGGGGTGCGGGGTGCGGGGTGTGGGGTGTGGGGTGTGGGGTGTGGGGTGTGGGGTGTGGGGTGTGGGGTGTGGGGTGTGGGGTGTGGGGTGTGGGGTGTGGGGTGTGGGGTGTGGGGTGTGGGGTGGGGTGGGGTGGGGTGGGTTGGGGTGGGGTGGGGTGGGGTGGGTGGGTGGGGGTTGGTTGGTTGGTTGGTTGGTTGGTTGGTTTGGTTGGTTGGTGGGTTGGTTGGGTGGTTGAAGAAAAGCCCAACCCGCCCTGAAACCCTTCGACTTTGGAGGAACCTCCATGGGGCGTCGGGCGGCTTAGCCGGCCGGTCTCGCTTCGGGTTCAGCTCTTCGCAAAACCCGGAAAGCACAAACGGAACAAGAAGCTGCCTGCGCCTGCCTCCAAAAAATGGTTGGTGGATGTCTATGTTGCAACTTCAGCTCAAAGTAGCGGATGTGTTTTTCAACCTTAGTGCTGCCTGCAAAACAAACTCTACTTGGATCAATTTTCTGAGTCACTGAGCGAGTAGATTCCTACCAAGTCAACCCCTCTCGACCGGCCCCCCTTTTTGTCCGTCCCCGTCTCCTCCATGCCATGCGGGTTGTGCCCGCACTTCTCATTAATCAGCTCCAGGACGTGCCCCACCGCGCCCTGGTTTTAACATGTCCAAGTTTCGTCTCGACGACCCGAAGTTCCCTTTGCCCAAGCACAGCAGGGCAAGCCGCTTCTCGTTTTGAGGGTCTTCAGCTCATGGGGTCGATTTCCTGCTTAAAAACGTTAACACGTTCATGTGCAAAGGCAAACGCTCTCCTGATTGCCATGGAACCCCAAAAGCATTATCTTTAGGATCAGAATATCTGTTCCTTGAAGAAAGAACACCTTTTCCGGGTCATCTTGCAGGAGAGTATAGGGGGAGCCCCTTTGTTGCTGTGAGGCTGTGCCTTTCATTCGAGGACACACCCCAATTTCCAGGGTCACGTTTTTGGGTGTCCATTGGATAATTTCCGTTGGTTGAAGGCACGTACCTCTGAACGAACTTCCATCCTGGATTTTGTTCCTTTGGGGATTCAGAAGGTTCAACGCCTTGTCCTTAGGGAGGACCGACCAACGCTCCATCCTGGGGACTATCTCCCATGCGATTTTGGAGCCCCAGTTGCGAAAGTGGACTTTACGTACTACTTTCGTACTTAAAATGTGCGATTTTCCAGCCCCAGCTGCGGAACTGGACTTCACGTACTACTTCCGTGCTTAAAAGTACAATTTTGAAGACCCAGCTGCCAAAGTTGAATCTATACTTGACCTTGCGGCCAAGGTGTGTGTGTCTTTCGTTGGTGCTATACTTTTTACGGGCGTTGTTTTTCCTTTTCGCGACACCTCTCTCTCCGGAACTCGCGCGCGCGCGCAACTGGCCTCGTGGCCCCTCATCTCCGCCTTCACCGCCTCCTCGATGGCCACGCCGTAGCGGCCGCCCATCACCCTGGGGCGCATAGAAATCCTTTTAGGGGAAATAGATTTGGGTTTCCCTGGTAGATGAGAAGAAACCACCAGGTAAACCAGGAATCGCCATCTATTTTGCTCGGGCAAAACAACCAAAAAGGGTGTACCCATGCTCGGCCGTGCTCGTCGTTGCGTCGTTGCGCCGTCCCAGTCCCGTGGCTTTCGCGTCCGATTCGCGTCGGAACCCCAAGGCCCAGCTGTCGGTTCCGTCTGGTTAGTTGGAAGTTTGGCGCTGCTTGCCGTGCACTCCCGCCAGAAAAGGAGAAAACTCCAACACGACAAAACAACAGAAAGGGAACAGTCCGAGCATTGCCTTCAGAAATGAAGCAAAAATATGCCAATTCACAAATAGATGAGCTTCAGAAATGAAAACAAACCGTGCAAAAAAAGAAGAAAAAAACACGAATGTGCCCAGGCGCTTCTTTTTCTTCTTCTTCCCCTTCTCCTTCACCTCGACAAAGCCCCCACCCTCGTTCTCCGGGCTGGTGAGGAAGTCCCGCCACGTCCCGTTGAAGCCCCCCTGCCCGGGGAGACAAAACCAAAGCAACAACCGGAATCTGAGGGTGGTCGGACCCAACCCACTTCGCACAGCCCAGTTATCCTTTCTTGACAGGTTGACAAGTTCAGGCAACAACCGCCTAGAATAGGAACGCCCTCTTGGGATTTTGTGGTGACGCCTGCTCAACGCACTTGATAGGTGGCTGACAACCAGAACTGGGGTAAGCCCCCTTGTCGTTTTGGCGACAACCTGCCCAGCAAGTGGGTGGAATGCCCATGCAGGATGCCAAATCGGCTGGTACACGGTCGCTATTTGCGAAAGGTGCCCGGAACTGTTGGCCGTTCTCTGGCAAAAACGTAGTTTGCAAGGAGTAATAAGGGGCAGCCAAAAAGAAGCAAAAGAAAGACAACAACTTTTGGCTCACTGACCGAACCTCAAGATCGTCCATCCCCTCAAGCACCTTCCGTTGACTTCCTTTAGCTATTAAGCCCCTCTTCTCTGTCAGTGAGTACCGTTGACAAACGATGCGCCCGCTGACAGTGCGTTTGGATGCGCTTCACTCGCGGAAACCGGCTCCAGCAAAGCAGTGCATGATATGACTCGCGGCTCCCTTGACCCATCCCCGAAATGTTCATTGCACACACACACACACACCATTGAACGACGCTCCTGATGGCCCTTCCAGAAACACACAGGACGCACTTGATAGCAAGTCTGACACTGTAATTCTTTGTTGACAGACAAACTCCTGCACCGAAGAGGGCTGTTTGCTCACTCTCGCCCTCCCTTAACATGGAAGCTTGAGGCTCTTGATTTTCGTATGGGCGAACACCAAACATCCTGCCATCGACATTAAGAGGGAGTGGGGAGCGATGCCCTTTCAGAACAAAAGTTGGCTCCGCAGCACCACATCATTTTGCCCTGCTGATTGAAAGTTCTCAGCTCCAAGCTCAAACCAATTGCCTAAGTGTTCTCAAACAGACGTGTCTTTTTCGGGGGCACCGTTTTTTGTGCGTTTAAAGGCACAGCAAAAGGACCCCCCCCCCCAGTTTTTTGGGGTTTCCGTTCTAGGGTTAGCTTCTCCATTCTTTCCCGGGATCCTTCTTTTCAGGAAACCATCAAACACCCAGGAAAAACAGCCGGTGTTTGAAAAGAACGATGGTTGAAAAGAGTGGGGAGTCAACCCCTAGACATGTTCTATCTCCAGACACACCCAAACATCAGATCGAGCCAACAAACCGATCGCAACAATAAGCTCTTGGCACGCGTGACTCAGACTAGGTCCTCCAGATTTGAGAGGCCAGAATAAGGCTACACCTTTTTTCTGTTTCGTCCATTTTAGCAGGACTAAGCCTCCCCAACCAAAAAAGAAATGGGTCAAAAAACTGCACCACTTGCCGATGGCCCGAGAGCTCTCGCGCCTCGTCGCAGATCGTCTCCGTGAAGGGCTCCGCCATGGCGAAAAGGAATTCGGCGGGCGAGGCGCGGAGCGAGAAACGCGAAGCTGGGGGCCGAGCGGCCGAAGGACACAGGAAGGCCATGCAGCCAAAGGGCATGGCCTGATGGGTGAAAAATGGGGTAACCCCCAAATGGAACGCTGGTAAATAAGGGCATGGCCTGGTGGGTGAAAAATGGGGTAACCCCCAAATGGAACGCTGGTAAATAAGGGCATGGCCTGGTGGGTGAAAAATGGGGTAACCCCCAAATGGCTTGCCCTGGTAAATGGAAACATGGACTCAAACCTGCGGTCCTTTGGTGGTTCAATTTTGACCCACAGCCACATGACAACATGGCGGGCGCTATGGGAGCCCAGCATAAGGTCCGCAATACATCCTCGGTGCTCGCACCGCCGTGCGAAGAATGGATCGAGGATTTCACTCCAGCGTGATTCACTTTTGTTTCACCAGGGGCCATGAAGTGCATAAAAGATCATTCAGGGCAGAGCCAAAGGGGGAGGGGTCCTGGGGAACAATTTCCAACAGGCCCGACAAAGCCACCACATGTGCGCCAACTCGCTGCTTAAACAACCTGGTGAGTGGGCTATAGCCGGGGTCGAACCAACCAGTGATGAAGCAAATGCAGCGTTTTTCATGTAACACCTGGTGGTATTACTCTGGTTTCCTCCACCCCCCATGAGATGCCCCCACCCAGTGTTGCCTCTTCCGAATCGATCTCTAACATTCAGCTGGGCGGCAGCGAGGAGGCCGAAGCCTTCGCCCTGCGCCAGCCGCATGAAAGATCCGTTTGAAGACTTGTCTCCTCTTCCGTATGACTGTACTGGGCGGCCCACAGATCCCCCGCTAAAAGCTTAACTTCTAATGGGTCAAATGGAAACTGCCACTAAACACTAAAAAGCGAAAAGGCTAAGGGGATGGCTGGGAGCCACCAAGTGTACAAAAGATATTGTTTCATATTCGGTCGACCTTAATAACGTAAAATAAGCTTGGAGAAAACCCCAGTTAACCCTATTGAAGGAAACATCTGGATTGCCTGCGTTCAGTTGCGTTTAGTCGCTTTCGGTTAGTCGCTTTTGGTTGACTGGTGGTTGCGCTTTTGCCGCCGCGGTGCTTTGCGCTTTTTCGTAATGTCCTGACTTCAGGCGCCAGAGAGAAGAGGGGCACCTCCAATCAATTGCGCTGAAGTCCTCCAACTGCGAGATCTCTTTCTAAAATGGGTGGCTCGTCCTTTTTTGGAATCGGGCCCTCAAAATTGGTGTTTTCCTGTTGATTCCCTTCAAGTAAGAAGGGCCCGGAGCTTTGGACAACATGACTTCTTTCCCCAAGGGGGTGTGTGGGATATGTGGATTCTCCCCCCACCTCCTCTCACTGACAGTTATATACTTACACGTTCCAAGATAAAACCCGACCATCGCTGCATCCCCTGCGAGGCACGCGATCGGGTCCGCCGGTTACTAACTTAATGGGTACCAACCGGACTGGAGCGCTTATCACGTGGCAGGCATGTGTGCTGTGCCGAGCAATTTGCCTGCCACACAGTAAGCACATACACACCCGTACCAGTCCAACACGTCTAGTGACGCCCTGCGTGCAGTACCGAATTGACCACCTAAAGGGTAATTTGCTGGCAGGTCCGGGTCAAGTGGCAATTTTCGGAATTCGGAGACATCAGCAGCATCCCCGCAACCCATGTGCCATTTTCGCTAGTGCAAGCTTTAATTACTGTCAACAAGAAAAAGCCCACCCTCCAGAAGGCGATTCCATGGAAGCGGAGATGCCAAAAAGGGCGCCATGTGGCCATGGGTCAAAATCCCGTACCTTCAGACATCCCAATCCGCGCTAAAATAGGTTCTAAAATGGGTGGTGAATTCACCTGCCAACCAAAATGGGATCCCAAAACGGTTTTGGCAACCACTGCCATGTCACTGTGCCAAATGGACACCATCGGCCCCCGCGAACCAAATCCCGCCCCAAATCCAAATCCCGCCTTGCGGCCACGGGGGCGCTGGCCTCTCAACCACAAGGGTCCCAGTTGCACAGGGTGTCTTTGGTGAACCCACAACTAGAGGGCCAAAAAACAACAACAGCAATCCGGCATTTCATCCAGGGTCCTCACAGCTTTTTTCACCAATTGCTGTAAGCAATCCAAAGGGGCGCAATAGATGAGTTGCTGCCCTTTGTTGGGGCAAGCTGCCCTCTCCGACCTGGATTCAAAGGAAAACAAAAGGCAACCCAATCTGGAAGTCCGCCATAGTTGGAGGCAAACATAGCCGGGACACCATTGTTGGAATCTCTAGCATGGGTCCAAGAACTGACCCTCGAAGTGGACAGGAGGGCTTGGAAAGACTACCATGGTCCATGTCCATGATGTCTGAAGAAAAAAGGTTTGCATCCAAGCAAGGCATCTGTCCGTCTGGCCCATTTCCATGAATGATCTGTCACTTGCACCTCACCAAAAGAACCCAAGCAAAATATGCCTTGGATCCACCCAAATGCCTGTCCGCTCAGCACTTGAAACCGTTCAAAGCGAGGTTCCCGGCCTCATGGACCTTTTGTTGAGAAGGAATCTGGGTGAATTATAATATTTCACCAATCTGAAAAAGGGTGATTGGGGGAATATCCCCACATAAGCCACCATTTGGGGTGAATTCGGTCGTGTGAGGTTATAATTCACCCAGCGGAATTAGAGCGCGGGCTTCTACGCCAAATGGGGAGGTCAGTCGGTGCAGCCGCGGGAAGTTAGCCAGTTGTTCCCGCAAAGACTTCGAGTAGGTCACCTGGGGAAAAGTGGTTAGCCTCCCTTCCAATGCCACAAGCCCCAAAAAACACCCCAATGAAACACGCAAACGCAAACATAAACACAAACATGAATAGACAAACACACGAACAAACGAACGAACGAACAAACAAACAAACAAACAAACAAACAAACAAACAAACAAACGGACAGACAAACAGACAAACAGACAAACAGACAAGCAAACAAGCAAACAAGCAAACAAGCAAACAAGCAAACAAGCAAACAAGCAAACAAGCAAACAAACAAACAAACAAACAAACAAACAAACAAACAAACAGACAAGCAAACACGCAAACAAGCAAACACGCAAACACAGATGCAAACGCACGCACGCACGCACGCACCAACACACCCACACACCCACGCACCCACGCAGGTCATACGCCCCACGCAGGTATGATAAAACTGTAAAGGAACCTTCGTGGGACAGTCACACAAGACCTTTGAGTCAAATGGGCCCCAAATCTTTTCTTAACCTCTTGGGAAGGAGCAAGGACTGCCTTAAATTCAACCATGGTTCGACAAATGAGCGTGTCTCGTTGCGGGTTGCCTTTTGTAGGGTACCAAGGGGAATCAACTTTGGAGGTTCAAAATCCCATGGGACACGAACCCCAATGGATATGTATCAAATATGGACTTGGCCCCCAAAAAAGGAGGGCTTGGCGTGTCCTTTTGGTCCTTTTGGATTCCCTTCAGATCACCCAAGAAAACACACACACAAAACAAACATAGCCAAGAAAGGTGCCAAAAACAACACGCCCATTTGGACTCGGACCCAAATCGTCCAAAGTCCCCCCCCACCCCACCCCGCGGGGCCTTTGCAAGCGCCATCTGTGCAGGCTTTCCACCTGCCTGGCAGCCCGATTGGCTTGCTTGACTTGAGGGGAAACCACTGCGTGGCCTCCAAACCGCCAAACCAAACCACCAATTGGAGGGAAGCTGAGCTTTTGTTTGTCCCCACCAAACAGGGGCTTTTGTATGTTGGGCCGGTTCTCCAAAAAGGAACTGGTTCCCTAAAGTTGGCTAAAAGGGGGGTCTATGAAGCCCTCACCTATAGAACTCACTTTGACTTGCCCAAAGCAAAGGTGAGACAGGCTGTTTGTGGTGAATGCCAAAGGTGACAAACGGACCACGATTTGAATCGGGTCTAGCGGACCTGCAAGCAATTAAAAGGTCCCACTGTGTTTATTTGGGTATCATGCATTTGACAAATCACACCGAAGAAGAATCAAATCAACAAAGTGACACACACTGGGGCATTGCCTCGCCTTGTGTTGGGGAAGCCAACTAGCTGGGAAGAGACTAGGGGGGAGCCGCCCACAAAGCAGTGCCATAGAAAATCAACGCTGGAGAAAATGCCTCCCGCTTCTCGATGCGCTCTCTCTCTCTCTCTCACATCCCGATTCGCCAACTTGGTTCTTCAAAGTTGGACACCTTGGTTGCGAATCAATGAACCACCGCTGTTGGATAGAACTCCTCTAGTTCTTCCAAGGGTGGCACCACCCAAATTGACCATGGATCTTGTGCCCCTGCCAGTGGGTGACGTCATTTCGAACACACTACCGCGATCGGCAACGTGGGGACCCAGCATTTGTTAGGTCCAGAAAATGAATTGTCTGTACAAGTCGTGGGTTGCCAAGACTATTCGTAGACCGACAAGAAATGAGATGGATTGGTTACCTGCGGCGCACTGTGTTTGGCTGGTCAAAATAGATTATCCTCCTTCCACCTGTGCACTGTGGTGTCCAAATACAACTTGGACTTCGATACATTGGTGTTCGATATCCTTGTTGCTTCCCAAACCAAACCACTAAAAGGCTTGGTGCCAGTCCCAAAAAATACATGCTTAAAATCAGGGCCGCCAAAAAAAAATGGCAATGGGTTCCTTCCGGTTTCCCAACCAAAAAAAAAGAGAAAGTACACCCCCATAGACCCCAGATAACGAAACACTCGCCAACGATTGCACGCCAGCACCCAAAAAAACCAAGAAAAACTACAACCAGAAAATGGTGCCAGTCCCAAAAATACATGCTCAAAATCGGGGGCCAGAAAGGAAAAGCCCACCCTCCAAAACGAGTCTCAACTCAGTCCCTGCGGCGTAGCCAGACTCCCGCCTTGGGCTCTGCGAGCCCCACCTTCGCCAGCCTTGGCCCAGGTGCCTCGTAGGGGGCAGCGATTAGGGGTATAGTGGATCCTAGTCTTTGGACTGGGTGCGTTGGCTTATGGTGGTGTTCAACATTGGTTTGGGGCTCATTTCGGGCTGCTTGCGTGCTTGCTTCCTTCCCTCCTTGCTTCCTTGCCGCCTTGCTTCCTTGCTTCCTTGCTTGCTGGCTTGTTTGCTGTCTGGCTGGCTGGCTTGTTTGCTGTCTGGCTCGCTCAGAACGAGGTGGACAAACATCCCAGCAAAAACAAGAGGGAAAACACAAACACTCACCAAGTCTTGGTATTGTGAGTGAGTGTGTGTGTGTGTGTGTTTCCCTCCTCAAACCATGAAAGCCAACGTTGCGCCAAAGCAACATGGCATCCCCTCCCCTAATCCGGTCATAAACCACAGCGCTCCCTCTGTGCCACTGGACATGGGCAAACCCAAACGAGATGCTTGACATGGCTATGGAAAAATCGGGACCCTACCTCTCCAAAAACAAAAGGAAACCCTCAGGGTGTTTTTTCCTGCAGAACAATATCTGGTATTGCAGCTTGATGTCATTCAATACTTTGCAGCGCCACCCCGAATAAACTCCCAGAGGTCCCCTGCCGTCCCTTCGACTCATCTGGTTGACTGGACTCCCCACTGAGCACGTCAAGCGAGTAAGTCAATCGAGGGCCGGAAACACTCGGAAGCCCGAGTATAGCTTGCTTCGATGTTGTCTCGTTCTGTCGCAGATAACCCCTGAGATGCCTTGTCTTTCAAGAGGAAAGCAACCGAGTTTTTAACTTTCGACACGCCACATTGAGACTTCAACCTGGGGTGTTTTTCAAAAGCGTCTAGAAAAGATGGACAATCTAAACACACCTCGCCCACTCCTTTGCTCGGGCTTCCCCTGCCTCCACCTCTGGCTCGGCCGGAGCCGCCGGCTCGGCCGGGGCCGCCGGCTCGGCCGGGGCCGCCGGCTCGGCCGCCGCCGGCAGCGTGGAGGGCTCCTGCAGGAAATGGCTCCATCTTAACAGAGGCTTTCCACGAACCAAACAAGGCATACAAGTTTCACCACGACAAACGTCCCCTAGACAAATCTTAGATTTATGGAACAGACCTCCCACATGATGCCTTGAAGAATCTTACATCCGTAAACTTCTTGGACAAAGTCTCCTCCTATGTTTCAGGCCTAGGCTTGGAGGCGGACAAACGTGCCCTTGAAAACTCTCAGATCCACGGAACAGACCTTATGGACCAAAATTGTCCTTCCCCAATGATGATGATCCGCATGTGAACCATCACCCAACAGTGGTGATGATAATCATCACTAAGACAAGGACAAACCCTTCCCATGCGCCTCCTCTTTGGAGAAAGGGGTCGGCGGATATCAAGTCGAAGAGTTGACAAACAGCAAGAGCAATCAACAAGTTGAACTTTCGCAAAGTTGAGAAGAAGAAAAAAACAAAACTTGGGGGGGTGACGTACATGGCTACCACTTGCAACCCACAGCTCCCCCATCGGGCTATCGCCTCGTCAGCAGCGGCGCTCGCCGCGGCTGGAGGCGCACTCCAGCGCTGCAGCACCGCCAGGGCGTGGGGGCCTGGGAGCTTGATGCGCACCTCTCTCTCTCTCTCTCCACCCAGATGTATATATATGTATATATATATATATGTATGTGTGGGTGTGTCCATGTTTAAATGTATATGTACATATGAAAATGTCCGTGTTCATGTATATATAGATATGGATATATGTATATACACATGCGCCCACAGGCCCTGCCTTGAATGTTGGCACTCGTCCATTCACGTACTGGCTTCTTCGCTTGCATCGTTGTATCTATCCACGCGCATTCACTGGAGGCACAAGTTGCCAGGGTCAGGTTCCGACATTTTTAAGCTCCGTATGGCCATGGGTCAACAGCCCGTACCCCCACTGAACATCCCAATCCCCACTAAAATAGAGCCATAGGTTCTGCCCCATGGCCATATTGTCCCAGTTGCGCACTCGAACCTGAGGACAACAAAACGAGGCCAGGTGGCCAATCAGCTCCGCGGCCAGGTCTTCGTCCACTGCGCTGCGCGAGCAATCCTAGGATTCGAACATATGTGACTCTGGGCTTGTGTTTGTTTGGACGTGCCTGCGTTGATTGGATTTGTTGGAAGCAAATCCTTTGAAACAACTTTGACTCCACCCGCTGCTGCTACACAACGCCGTCCAAACTTTAAGCGCCAGCGCCACCTGCGGCGGAAGCAAAGATGGCTCTGTCAGACGCAAGAGGGCTGTGATGGCAAGTGTTTCAAGGGCCCGTGCGTGATACACGCGGCCTGTCAGCGAAATTCGTGGCGCCCTGATAGTTCAAAACGTCATGCCATTGTTGGCCATTAAAGTGGCATAAGAGAAATGGCGGCGAGGGCCGGGCTGAGGAGTGACCTGAGAATTTGAGCAAAAAACAGAAATGGTCACATAGCTCAACCGCCCGATCTGCCAGCAAACCGGTCAGTCAGTCAGTCAGTCAGTCAGCCAGCCAGTCAGTCAGTCAGTCAGGCAGGTCAGGCCAGTCCAGGTCATGGCAGGGCAGGAAGGTCAGGAAGGTCAGGAAGGTCAGGAAGGTCAGGAAGGTCAGGAAGGTCAGGAAGGTCAGGAAGGTCAGGAAGGTCAGGAAGGTCAGGAAGGTCAGTCGTCAGTCACACCAGCTAGCAACCGAAGCCAACTGCAACAAAGACAAATCATAGTCATTGATGAAGCTACACAGAAAGGCAAGGATACCAAAGACAAATCACTTCTGTTGCGCACAAGCAACCTGTCAGTTCTATGCCCAGGCATCCACGATTGGCAGGTGTTCAACTCGACTGGCAAATGTGGGCGTCTTCGAATCACAAGCGACAGAAGCCGAAGCTCACGGTAACCTGGGCGACAAATTGCACATGTGGTGAGCCAATTTGTCACTTCAAGGCTCATGTTTCCTAGAAAAGCCCGAAACCCCAGAATAGCAAACCATCCAAACCACCAAATAACACGAACCTGATGGAGAGCCAGCCCAAAGAACCGGAATTCAAAAAATGGACAGCTCCTTTTTGGCTTCCCACCAACCCCTAGGGCTTTGCGGTTTCATCGCGTTTGTCATCGCCTCCCCGCACGGACCAAAGCAGCGCTTTCGCCTGGCCCACTTCCACCTCTCCTTATAAGGGGATTACTTAGATGGTCTGGGACGAATCGCTAAATGCTTAGTAACCCTACTTACAGGGGACTTACAGCCATTGCTTTGGTGGGTTACAACCAGGATTACTGGTCATTTAGCGATTCCTCCCAGACCATCCAAGTAGGGGATTCGCCCAAGTACAACTTTTTTCGGCCGCTTCGAGCAATCGAGGCGCCAACGTGAGCGTAGGCGTCATGCCCTCCAAGGCGGTCCGCAAGGCCGCCAGGCCTGCGTCGGAGAACTTCTCGGGGGCGTCAAGCTCCAGGTGCTGCCTGAGCTTCACATCCGAGGGGAAAATTGGGGAGGGGCGGGGGACATCCGCCTTTTTGTGAGTTTCCGGCACCATTATATATATATATATATATGTGGTCAGCGAAGGAACACGGACAGGGATGACACAGAAAAGGTAGAGGGGGGCGGGGGGGCTGAGCATGTATTTGTATATATATATATACATACATACATACATACATACATACATACATACATACATACATACATACATACATTACATACATACATACATACATACATACATACATACATACATACATACATACATACATACATACATTACATTACATTACATTACATTACATACATACATACATACATACATTACATACATACATACATACATACATACATACATACATACATACATACATACATACATACATACATTACATACATACATACATACATACATACATACATACATACATACATACATACATACATACATACATACATACATACATACATACATACATACATACATACATACATACATACATACATACATACATACATACATACATACATACATACATACATACATACATACATACATACATACATACATACATACATACATACATACATACATACATACATACATACATACATACATACATACATACATACATACATACACATACATACATACATACATACATACATACATACATACATACATACATACATACATTTACATACATACATACATACATACATACATACATACATACATACATACATACATACATACATACATACATACATACATACATACATACATACATACATACATACATTACATACATACATACATACATACATACATACATACATACATACATACATACATACATACATACATACATACATACATACATACATACATACATACATACATACATACATACATACATTACATACATACATACATACATACATACATACATACATACATACATACATACATACATACATACATACATACATACATACATACATACATACATACATTACACATACATACATACATACATACATACATACATACATACATACATACATACATACATACATACATACATACATACATACATACATACATACATACATACATACATACATACATACATACATACATACATACATACATACATACATACATACATACATACATACATACATACATACATACATACATACATACATACATACATACATACATACATACATACATACATACATACATACATACATACATACATACATACATACATACATACATACATACATACATACATACATACATACATACATACATACATACATACATACATACATACATACATACATACATACATACATACATACATACATACATACATACATACATACATACATACATACATACATACATACATACATACATACATACATACATACATACATACATACATACATACATACATACATACATACATACATACATACATACATACATACATACATACATACATACATACATACATACATACATACATACATACATACATACATACATACATACATACATACATACATACATACATACATACATACATACATACATACATACATACATACATACATACATACATACATACATACATTACATACATACATACATACATACATACATACATACATACATACATACATACATACATACATACATACATACATACATACATACATACATACATACATACATACATACATACATACATACATACATACATACATACATACATACATACATACATACATACATACATACATTACATACATACATACATACATACATACATACATACATACATACATACATACATACATACATACATACATACATACATACATTACATACATACATACATACATACATACATACATTACATTACATTACATTACATTACATTACATTACATTACATTACATTACATTACATACATACATACATACATACATACATACATACATACATACATACATACATACATACATACATACATACATACATACATACATACATACATACATACATACATACATACATACATACATACATACATACATACATACATACATACATACATACATACATACATACATACATACATACATACATACATACATACATACATACATACATACATACATACATACATACATACATACATACATACATACATACATACATACATACATACATACATACATACATACATACATACATACATACATACATACATACATACATACATACATACATACATACATACATACATACATACATACATACATACATACATACATACATACATACATACATACATACATACATACATACATACATACATACATACATACATACATACATACATACATACATACATACATACATACATACATACATACATACATACATACATACATACATACATACATACATACATACATTACATTACATTACATTACATTACATTACATTACATTACATACATACATACATACATACATTACATACATACATACATACATACATACATACATACATACATACATACATTACATACATACATACATACATACATACATACATACATACATACATACATACATACATACATACATACATACATACATACATACATACATACATACATACATACATACATACATACATACATACATACATACATACATACATACATACATACATACATACATACATACATACATATACATACATACATACATACATACATACATACATACATACATACATACATACATACATACATACATACATACATACATACATACATACATACATACATACATACATACATACATACATACATACATACATACATACATACATACATACATACATACATACATACATACATACATACATACATACATACATACATACATACATACATACATACATACATACATACATACATACATACATACATACATACATACATACATACATACATACATACATACATACATACATTACATACATACATACATACATACATACATACATACATACATACATACATACATTACATACATACATACATACATACATACATACATACATACATACATACATACATACATACATACATACATACATACATACATACATACATACATACATACATACATACATACATACATACATACATACATACATACATACATACATACATTACATACATACATACATTACATTACATTACATTACATTACATTACATTACATTACATTACATTACATTACATTACATACATTACATTACATTACATTACATTACATACATACATTACATTACATACATTACATTACATTACATTACATTACATTACATTACATTACATTACATTACATTACATTACATTACATTACATTACATACATACATCATACATACATACATTACATTACATACATTACATTACATTACATTTACATTACATACATACATACATACATACATACATACATACATACATACATACATACATACCATACATACCATTACATACATACATACATACATACCATTACATACCATTACATACCATTACATACCATTACATACCATTACATACCATTACATACCATTACATACCATTACATACCATTACATACCATTACATACCATTACATACCATTACATACCATTACATACCATTACATACATTACATTACATACATACATTACATACATACATACATACATACATACATACATACATACATACATTACATACATACATACATTACATTACATTACATTACATTACATTACATTACATTACATTACATTACATTACATTACATTACATTACATTACATTACATTACATTACATTACATTACATTACATTACATTACATTACATTACATTACATTACATTACATTACATTACATTACATTACATTACATTACATTACATTACATTACATTACATTACATTACATTACATTACATTACATTACATTACATTACATTACATTACATACATACATACATATATTGCACTTCATGATCCTTTCGCTTTGAAGCTAGGGAAAACTCCAAACGTGTCTTACGGGTTCGTAACCCAAACACAAGTCAGCCCCCTCCACCCCAATTCTCCCGGGCAAAAAGAAGGCCGTACGTTTAAAAAAACCAAAACGGACGGGTGGCAAGGTCCTGGGCATCCGCTGGGCCACCGCCGACACGCCGGGGTCTCCCAACAAGGCGCAGCCTCAGGCTTCGCGCGGGAAATTGAAACCCGCGCCTGGAATCCGTCACAAGGATAAGAGCTGCGATTGGGGTTTGAACTCCTTGACAAAACATATTCTCGTTGCAAAGATTCGGTGAGGGGGTTGTGGGCAACACATTGGGGAAGATTGGGTAGCATTTGCAGTAGGGCCAGTTCGTGGCAGCTCATGCTCTCTACAGTTGTGGCTGCCCACAGCTACACAACTGATGACCGTTGTTCCATTTGGTGTCACCCACAGAGCAGTCATTCTGGTCCAGCGCAGACTCAAGGATTGCATGACAAACAAGGCACTCATCACAAGATGAACCTTTGAAGCAGGATTCAAAGCTACTACTGGGAGGACAACCTTCCCAATGGCCACTGCTTCAGAGTAGGAGGGTTCGCTGGCAACACACACAAGTGCCCAACCTCATTCAACCAAATATCCACATCCATGGAAGAGGGGATTCTGATCACCCAGAAACATCGCCTAAGAATCTGTCAGGCGCTCTATGCCCAGCCGCTCGAAAAACTTGAACCAAAAATCCCACCAAAAGAAAAAACATCAGCTACATGGCCCCAAATGGTGCCAAAAGGGGGGAGTTGAGTACTTTGTCCACCCTTTCCTGCGCAACCACATTTCAAATCATCCAACAAATCCACGTCGGCTCCGATCTCGACGCCTGAGAGGTGCAGACGCAACGTCTCCAGCTCCGGAAGGCTCTGTGCCAGTCCTGACAAACACGCCGTCGTCTCCCGTCGCCGCCGATTTCTCTCTCTCTCTCTCTCTCTCTCTCTCTCCCTCTCTCTCTCTCCGCTTTTGGCGTTTTGGGCCGGGTGCCGCGCACCAGCGCCCCCCTTTTGGGGGGAAAGGAACAATTTGGCGGTCCGCGAATCTGTGAGAAAAAGGGCTGGGGGTTCGAGTGTCTGGAAACATCACCAGAATCCTTGAAAGAAAACTCCGTTTCAATTGAGAACTCACTAAGGGAAAGCTAAGAAACAGCGGCTGTGAGAATTTCCAAGAAACAACTGAAGCCATGAACAGCTCAACGAAATTCACCGAATTCGTGGCTCCTCAAAGCGGGTGCCCTTGAGTGGGGGTTCTTGTTGCTGAACAGGCGCACTTGAGCCAGTGGTCTTGTGATTTGGCAGGCATGTGTGCAGGGCTGGGCAGACTGTTAACAAAAATCAAGCACATGCTACCAGTTCTATGGTGATTTGGATCTGCGGCTCCGCGCAGTTCACGAGCAGCTTCAAGCGAGCTCTCTCGCTCTCTCTCTCTCTCTGTCTCATCCATCACCGCCATCTGGGACTTTGTGAGCATCTTCAGTCACGCAAGTAGTGAAGTTCTCATAGTTTGCTCTGAAGCGGCATCGCTTCAGACCAGCCTCCCCAAGATCCCCACCACTCTCAATTCTATACCTGTTTCGGGGGAGAAGATGGGTTCGTGCAGTCCCTCTAGATTGCACAATGGCGCAAGCAACATGCTTCGCAACATGCATCCACCTGGGAATGAATTGGCCAACCATCAACTTTCAGAAAATCCTGCGGCTGCAGAGAAGTGTGCTTGCTGGCCTACATTTTTGGAGGAAACATGAGCCCCAAATTGACCAAAGACTACCGAACATGTTGGCCGAACCACGCGTAAGGTCTGGTGAAGACCCCGCCACCCACGTGCTTCGTAACATGTAAGATGCGCCACAAGACAACCAGGTCATGGAAAAACACAAGTTTATGGATTGCAAGCGAGCCCATAAAGACAAGTGTCATTCGGAATACAAGTTCTCTCCTCACAAATCAGTAACATGCTGTCATCCAAGAGAAATTCAGGATCGAAACCCTTTCGGACCTACGGCATCTCACCATTTCCTCGTTTGCTATTGTGAAATCGAATATGCCTGTTTGGTGGGGCGAACTGGTTCTAATTTCCCTATCTCCGCCAAGTGTCCAGAACGCGGGAGGAAGGGAACGGAAAAGACCAGGAAAAACCCGCCGCAACGGACCAAAACACGCTCACAGAATCAGAAAGAGACCCCCAGGAAAAAAACAAAACAAATAACAAAACTGGGCTGCCCTCAGATCCCCGCTAAAAGTCTAGCTTTTAGTGAGTTAAATGGAAACTACCACCAAACACTAAAAGATGCTAAAAAGCTAAGGAACCGGATGGCTGGGAGCCACCAAGAAAAACCGGCGCAAAAAAAAGATTTAAAAAAAAACAGGCGGACAACAAAAGAGGGGGGGGGGGGGAAAAACGAACCAAATAAGGAAAACATCAAAACAGTGCGAAGATCCCGCTTCCTTTGGGCCACCCCCATCCCCCACCTGCCAGCTGGCCGTCGCTCAAGCACTCGCAGTCGTCCAGTGTGGCGGTGAGGTCTCGAGACGTTTAGAGGAGACGTTTGGATGAGGCAAACACAGAGTGGTGATCCCATATTAAGCAACCCCAGTTTATTCATAGGGGGGTGTTCCCTCCAAATTCACTTTGTTGATAGTGACCCCCTATTAATCAACCCCGGAACGCCCCCTTATTAATAATCTGGGGTGGATTACTAGGTGGCTGAGGCAAACACTTAATGTTGGCCCGATATTAATCAACCCCAGTTTATTAATAGGGGGTGACCCTGGGTTTAGTGGGGAATCATCACTTTTGGAGGGGAACACACTTAGTAAACTGGGGTCCATGTTAAGCAAACACTGAATGGTGATCCCATATGGGTGTGGGTCACAAAAAGGTACCCAAAATGGCTTGCCCTGGTAAATGGAACCAAGGACTAAAACCTGCGGTCCCGTGGTGGTTAATTTTGACCCATACCCATATTAATCAACCCCCGTTTACTAATAGGGGGTGTTCCCTCCAAAAGTGATGAATCCCCACTACAACCAGGGACACCCCCCTATTAATGAACTGGGGTTGATTGATAGGGGGTCAGCATTACGCCTCTTATACTCCCGCAACCGTGGGGTGTGACAAGGATCACTCAGTAGCCTGCCTCCATGTCAACTCCGGATGGAACCAAGCAACATCAACCAGGAGGTGGGTCCTGGGTCAAACGTTCCTACATGCCAGCCGCAAAAACCATTCACTCCCCATGGTTGCATTGAAGCACAGCTTAGAGACTTGCTCCATCTTCCGGATTTGAGTCAGCTGCATGCTGACTAAGATGTGGCGGAAGTAAAGGCAACGTTCTAGCACTTGCACACCAAAACGCTGGAAAGAGAGCGGCAAGAGAAGGAATGAAGGGAACCTGACAAAGAATTGGAGCTCGTGCTGTTGGAACAAAGGCAAAACGTGGAGAAAAATAAATAATAAATAAATAAAATGGGGTCAACTCCACACGCTGAGCCTACAAGTCAAAACAAACAAGGACGGCACGAAACACTGCAAGGCCCGGGGTGTCTACTTCGACCCAACTGGACTTTTGGCACGCTGCAGCTGAAAGTTTGTAAAGCCAAGCCACAAAGAAGCAGGTCTTGAGTTCATCTTTTTTCGGACGAGCTCCCCTTTTCTCGGACCCTTCCCCCCTGGCCTTTTTTTTGGTTTTGACCCGGGTCTGAGCGGGTTTTCGGAAAGCCCCTCCCCGGCTCTCCCCTTTTGGACCTGGTGCCACGGGCTTCCACCGCCCGGGTCGATGGCCGAAGCGAGGCGTCGAGGCCCGAGGCGCGGCGCAGGCTGCGGGGCAGGCGCCGGCCCAGGGAGGCCAGGCCGATGCGCAGGTTGGCGCAGCCGCTGAGGCAGAGGTGCAGAGCCCCCAGCGCCTTGAAGGCGACGAGCGAACGCGACGAAGGAACCGCGGCGACTTTGGAGGGCAGTGGTTGTGATTTTTGTTTGGTGCTCTTCGTGTTGGGGGTGGCAGGGTTTTTGTTTTCCCTAGATTACCTGTATTTCTTGATGAACCTCAAGGGGGAGCCACCTTCTTTTGGACATCTGTTGAGGAGAAACCAATAGGACACCAACCACAGGTTGCCTTCAGTCATGGGGAAAATGGCCGTTTCTGGGAGACGTAAATCGACCGACCGAGTGGAGGGCTGCTCCGACCCGTTCCTGAAGGATGGTGAAGCCCCAATGGTGAAGCACGGGAAGTTCCCCAGCCAAAGTTTTAGGAGTTCTTCATCTTGTATAAAGCGTGTGGTTTATGGCTTTTGGTTTCCTCCAACCTGAGCAACTCGATCCCCTGGCTACAACCAACGTACACCTCTTATTTTGACCCAGATTCCTTTTTCCAAACGAAGCCCAAAACACAATTCCCCTTGAAAACCCACCACAACAACCACGAACCGGTAACAGGGCAACATCCCCAGCATCTCCAGCATCACTTGGTCCTGGGGTTGCCTATTGGCTCTGATTTAATGGCAGTTGGGAGGTGCTGGGGTCTGGTTTAAGTTAGGGGGGTTTTGGCTGGCTTAGATCTTCATGAGGGCGGGTCTTGTGGTGGTTTGGGGCTGACATCCAGGCTGCTGTTGGGCGGACTTTGAGTGGGGTTGGTTTGGAGCTGATTTGTGTTAGGTGTGCTGCTGGTTTGGCAGCGGCTTTAGGGTTGCTTTAGGGTGTGGCTAAGTGAGTTGTGGGCGAGTTTTGGTGGTTTGGGGCAACGCCCCAAAACCGATCCGAAACGAGACCAAAACTGGGATGCCCTCCAGCTGTGCTCGAGAGAAGATTCACCAAGGGAATGGCCCCAACCTGATTGCCCTGTGACTCCATTTCGCTTTATAGTAGGAAACCTTGGGGAACCACCCTCTTTAAAAGCCACAAGGAATGTGGCTTGCTAAGTGATAGATCCACTGGGTTGGTCAGTTCATTCTCTCGTTTCCTCATTGGTTGCAGCAGGCCACGCTTATGAAGGGAGCCATGACATCTCACGCTAATTCGTATTAGGGTAAAATTCCTTTTTTTGTTGGTTAAGCGTGGAGTGCGGAAGATTGAGCGACAATCTTGCATAGATCCCACACGCTTGACACGTTCTCATGTGAGTCCGATCTGATTGGACGGGAGATTCGATTCAATGTAGGCGCCCCGTTCCTGAACAGTGTCAAAGCTGGTTCATATCTGGTTGACAATGGATTTGCCATAGTCACATCAGGTTTCCCCTTCATGTGGACGGCCCACTTTGATACTGTTGGACAAAACCCTGCAGTTGGTAGGCGGTGTGTCCCATTCTCCATAGAGTTTCATCCATCCCAGCTGGGAAGTGGATGTTGCCCATTTTCGGAGTCCCGCGATATTCGAAGGCTTACCTTTCTCAGGGCTGGCAGGTGTTTGGTTTTCGCTCGACTACCTATATGTCTTGATTGACCTCAAGAGAAGCCACCTTCTTCTGGAGAGTTTTTAACGAGAAACCACTCGGAATCCCGGGTTGTCGTACTCCCCTGCAAACCGAAACTCACTTCAGCCCAGTGGTTTGGAGCCTTCACGCTTCAGACAATGCGGCCATCACACCCGGGATCCAACTGCAACAGTTGGATCCCGGAGGGCAACTGCGAATTTGGGGTGAACATCTGTGTGTGTGTATCAACTTGGTGATCCTCCAGGAAACCCAAGCGAGGTCGTTTAAACAGGAAGGCTCTTGGCCCACACCCGGGCTGCACAAAAGACAGCATGTTCTGACTCTGTTCCATTCTTCTACCCTAAAAATCACTGGAAAAATGTTTGGAGAACATGTTTACTCAATTGCTGTTGACCCCTCTGCAAAAAGTTTAGCTTTTTTGTGGGTTCAAATTCCAAGCTGAGCAAGAAGCATGCCTATGTTGCAAGCCGCCTGCGCGCCATGCAGTGCAAAGCGAACCTTTTATTTGGAACAATTCATCATTTGAAACCTGCTGACCATTTTGCTTGGCTCAGGCTCTTCAGAGTATCTCTTGCAAACGCTTGCGGAGCAATATAATCTCTGGAATTGGCAACATATATAGCAAAACGCAAGACCTCAATTTGAGGAGTCTGGGCTAGCGACGAAGGTGTACTTTGCAGAGTATGCTGCTTCATCCCGTGGTGACATGATCTCAACTGGACTCCGTTGACAGGGTGGCAATTTGAAAAAGACACCGAAAAGGCGACCAATGGTTCAGTGGCCTCAGTAGTCAAACGGAAAACGGAACCCTTTCTGAGGCCAGGGCCTTTAACTTTTTCAGAGGGGAACCCACCGAATATTCCCAAGGGGGTGGGGTCGTGGCATCCCCAGCAGCTTTGCAAACCAGCTGGGCCCCTGATAATGCACACTGCAACTATTCCCCAAATCGTGTAGACTCCACGACAAGCTGGTTCATCACCTGGAAGACTTTTGCAGGTTCTGCCCGGGCTTTCAGATCGCACATCAGGAGGGAGCAATCATTGCTTTGTGAAATGTGACGCAAAACCTGTAAATTGAGATGGTCCAGCCATAAGGAGAGACCCTCAAGTCACACATCATAACAGTGTTAGTCCAGAGGTGTTTTCCGTGTACTGCACCCATGTACTGAATAGTTGCGACTTTGAAGCTGGAGCTGCCAAAGTGTACTTCGCGTACTGCGCTTGTAGCTAATGACAATTTTTTGTTGGTCTTATTCCACATTCAATGCAGAAAGGACTGCCACCTTCAACCAGACAATAGGTCCCACAATGCGTTTGCCATTGTTCTACAGGGCACTGTTGTTTTGAGCTTCTTGCAGGCCCCTAGCACAGTCCCTGCAACAAAGCTTATTTGTCCCCAACAGCGAACGCTTAGGGGTCTTCAGCCATAGTAGAGGCTTCGGGGCAACTTGGGGCAGGCCGAGAATCACTGGTCATCTGGCGGTTCCGGAAAGGTTCCAGAGGGTTTCATGAAAGGGTTCCAAGAAGTACAGAAGGCATTTGACTGCTTCGCAGCGCGTCGGGCAGAAAACCCGCTGGCAATCCAGAAGGTCCTGGACAGTTCCGGAGGGTTCCGGAGGTTCTGGAGGGTTGCGGAGGGTTCTGGAGGTTCCGGAGGGGTCGTTTGAGTGCTTCGGCGCGGCGGGGCAACAGAAAAGCCACTGGTAACACAGAAGTTTCTGCAGGGTTCCGGAGGGTTGCGGAAGAGGTTCCGGGAAGATGCAGAGGGTTGTCCATTATAGCTAACAATGCTCTTGCCACCATTTTGGGATCCGGATCTACTGCGACACGGGGTGATCAAGCATTTTCGCGGTGTCAAATCAAGCTGTTGGGGATCTTTTGTGGGCTTATCATTTTTAACAATTGCCTTTCACATGAGGGCTGCAAGTGGGAAGCACAAGTACTTGCCCTTGATAAAATGGAAGCGTGCAAGCATTCCAGGAGGGCACTTGCTCAGCACTTGCTTTTCCGATACGCAAACTGTTCTTCTACAAATTTCCGTCATCTAGCTTCGCTTCAGCATACCTGGTATGCTGTCCAATTGGTTGGGTTGAAGTTGGTCGTATGCGTTGGAGGAGCGCGCTCTGTTTGTCTGCGGAAGGTTGCAATTTTCCAAAGGGGTCAGCCTGCACACCCCAGGCTTGAGTCCACCCTCGGTCCCTATGTGGTTCGCGGTTGGGTGCGGTTGGCGAAAAGATTGAATTCGGGGTGGAATCAGAATGAAAGTAAGGAGGGTAAGGCTGAGGGTAGCTTTGGGGTCGGTGAAGATTTGAGAGTGAAAGGGGGGTGCGTGGCTGATGTCTCCGGATCGGGTTGGATTTAAGCTGGGTTTGAAGCGGGTTGGTAGATGATGGGCTTATGGGTTGGGATGGATTTGCAATTGGTTGAGGGTGGAGCCAGGGCTGAGCGAGGATGGAGTTAGGACTGCTTGGCGTGGGGTGGTGTAGACTGGATCTATAGTACGTTGTTGTTGTTGTGGTTAATCTAGGTTTGGTTCAGCGCAGGCCTAGGGTTGAGATAGGACCTGGCCTCGCGCCCATCGCCTGCAAAAACAAAGGGAAACCCCAGCCCCCTCAGAGAAAAGCTCCTCGCAATCCGGCCTTGGCTCCTGCCGCCACATCGGCTGGAGCAAAGTCACGCTCCCTCAAGAAACGCGTAAGGAGCTTCGCCTTCTGCCTAAGTAACACGCACCGTGTCTACACGTTTCCTGAGGCTTGGCACCTGCAGAGGAAAAGCAAGTAGCGCGCTGACAAACATCCGAAACCAAAGCCGGGCACACGATGAAAAAGCCGAAGTCGCAAACGGGGAGATCAAAGGCTGAGTCCAGCAAACACAGGGTGGGACCACTTCGGTCGACGTCCCCCCCGTGTGGCTTCACTTCCATTTGCTTCGGCAATGGCACCCTTGACTGGCGGCCAGCGCAGTTCTTGAGCATAATTCAGGCGAGACGCGAAGCTGGCGCCGTCCATGATCTTTTTCATAGCGCGGGGGATTGCTTTTGCCACACGGAATCCTCCAAGCAAAAGGAGCGCATCCTAATGGCCCAGGAAGCTCCTTTTGCGTCGCTTCCTTTCTGATGAACCCTTTTCCTGAGGCGGTCCTTCCGCCTCAAAGAGGGGCTTGCACGTGTTGATCATCTCCGCCTGGTTCATCATAGCAGCTTGGCTTTCAGGCAACGTGTAACGGCCGACAATCCCGCGCCATGCCGAGGAAAGCTGCCAGTGCCAGCTCTGCATTTGCCTTAGCACAGCCACGGAGCATTGCCAAGCCAACACAATCAGCCAGAACTCCCTGAAATCCAAAACAATTAGGCTCTCTGAAAGTGCAATTTCTTCATTAAATCCCTTTCAAAAAGTGACGGTTTCAGAAGGTCACAGGAGGTACCACCCCACATGAGCGCCCAGCCCATAATAATAATGTTGGGTCCCCGTGTTATTAGTTGGGTCCCCCTCAAGCCAGAAAACATGCATCCAATACTAAAAGTAGTAAGTAGTATTGCCCAATACTTAAAGTAGTACGTGCTGCCCAATACTAGTACTGCCTAATACTAAAAGTAGTATTGCCCAATACTAAAATGATATTGCTCAATATTAAAAGTAGTATTGCCCAGTACTAAATTACGAAAAGTAGTATTGCCCAATACTAAAAGTAGTGCTGCCCAATACTAAAAGTAGTGCTGCCCAATACTAAAAGTAGTACTGCCCAAAAGTAGTATTGCCTAATACTAAAAGTAGTATTGCCCAATACTAAAAAGTAGTACTGCCCAATACTAAAGAAGTACTTCCCAACACTAAAGTAGCTAAACGATAAGCCGACTCGCAAACGCGCAGCCCACAAAAGATCCCCAACAGCTTGATTTCACACCGCGAAAAACACGCGGCAAAAGCTCTCCAAGCTGCTTAATCACCCCGTGTCGCAGTTGATCCGGATCCCAAAACGGTGGCAAGAGCATTGTTAGCTAGAATGGACATTACCTTCCCAAACCTTCCGAAACGCTTCCGGAACCTTCTGGATAACCAGCGGGTTTTCTGTTGCCCCGCCGCGCCCCGAACGCGCTCAAATGCATTCTAAACTTCCCGGAATTCCGGAACCCTCTGGGTTACCAGTGGCTTTTCTGTTGCCCCGCCACGCCGAGGCCCTCCAGAACCCTCCGCAACCCTCCAGAACCTCCGGAACCCTCCGGAACTGTCCAGGACCTTCTGGATTGCCAGCGGGTTTTCTTTCGCCCCGACGCTGCGAAGCAGTCAAATGCCTTCTGTACTTCTTGGAACCCTTTCATGAAACCCTCTGGAACCTTTCCGGAACCGCCAGATGACCAGTGATTCTCGGCCTGCCCCAAGTTGCCCCGAAGCCTCTACTATGGCTGAAGACCCCTAAGCGTTCGCTGTTGGGGACAAATAAGCTTTGTTGCAGGGACTGTGCTAGGGGCCTGCAAGAAGCTCAAAACAACAGTGCCCTGTAGAACAATGGCAAACGCATTGTGGGGCCTATTGTCTGGTTGAAGGTGGCAGTCCTTTCTGTATTGAATGTGGGAAAAGATCAACAAACAGTTGTCATTAGCTACAAGCGCAGTACGCGAAGTACACTTTGGCAGCTCCAGCTTCAAAGTCGCAACTATTCAGCACATGGGTGCAGTACACGGAAAACGCCTCTGGACTAACACTGGTATGATGTGTGACTTGAGGGTCTCTCCTTATGGCTGGACCATCTCAATTTACAGTCTTTGCGTCACATTTCACAAAGGAATGATTGCTCCCTCCTGATGTGCGATCTGAAAGCCCCGGTGCAGCTTCTACGCAGCAAAGGTCTTCCAGGTGATGAACCAGCTTGTTGTGGAGTCTACACGATTTGGGGAATAGTTGCAGTGTGCATTTTCAGGGGCCCAGCTGGTTTGGCAAAGCTGCTGGGGATGCCACGACCCCCCCCCTTGGGAAATTTGGTGGGTTCCCCTCTGAAAAAGTTCAAGGCCCTGGCCGCAGAAAGGGTTCCGTTTTCCGTTTGACTACTGAGGCCACTGAACCATTGGTTGCCTTTTCGTTGTTTTCTTCAAACTACCACCCTGTCAACGGAGTCCAGTTGAGATCATGTCACCACGGGATGAAGCAGCATACTCTGCAAAGTACACCTTCGTCGCTAGCCCAGACTCCTCAAATTGAGGTCTTGCGTTTTGCTATATGTGTTGCCAACTCCAGAGATTATATTACTGCGCAAGCGTTTGCAAGAGATACTCTGAAGAGCCTGAGCCAAGCAAAATGGTCAGCAGGTTTCAAATGATGAATTGTTGCAAATAAAAGGTTCGATTTGCACTGCATGGCGCGCAGGGGGCTTCCAACATAGGCATGCTTCTTGCTCAGCTTGGATTGGGAAAACCCTTGATTTCCCAAAAAGTAAAGTCAAAGTCTGAAGATCCGACCCAATTTTTCGGAATTGTTCAGGAGACCCCCAAAATCTCCCCATTGGGTGAGTCCAATTTTGGAGCATGTTTCAACCCAGGCCCGCCGGCCCCCCAACGGCCACCGGGGTCCTGCCTGAGGAAGACGCAACGCGAGCGCCGCCAGCCCTGCGCCGTCCAGGAAGGACCCGGGCAGGGAGAGGCTCAGCAGGCTGGCAGAGTGCGACACACACACACACACACACACACACACACACACACACACACACACACACACACACAGTACGCCGGGGGGGGTACCCCGCCACCCCGCCTTTTTCTGTGAGATCTAGGTGATGCCCTGGTAAAAATACCAGAGAGCCCACAAAAACACAGAGCTTGTTCTAGGTGAAGGGTATCGAAAAAACAGACACCCATCTTAGGGCGTGTTCTGATTGGAGGGCAAACTGAATGAAGGTCCATTCACAACTCTCCGAGTGGAATGGCGGCACAAACCAAAGCGAATGGCAGGTGAATTTCGATTGCATCTCGGGGTTGGGGCTGAGTGTGTTGTTCGGCGTTGGTCTTTGTGTCCTGCGGAACGCGCGCCTACAATTTTAGATGTGTCCTGCGGAAATCAGTGGTATTTGTATCCGCACGGAGCGGCAGAAGCCCCTTTGTCCAGGCTCAGAATGTTGCGCGCACACACACACACACACAGAAATACACAAATGCATGTAGTTGCACAGACATGTAGAACCGAAGAGGTATTCAATGATTTCGATGCCTACAAAGTGCAGTCCGCAATGTGTGCCGATGTTTACTTATCGCACCAGCAAGCTACCGCCTTGTTTCTCCAGGATAAGTCGCTTAATACTAATCAACCCCGGCTATTGATAGGGGGGTGGTCCGCTTCCCCACTAAACCCAGCGTGACACCCCCCAAAACAATACACCGGGGTTGATTTCTTTGGGCTTCTACTAAACTAGGTCCTCCAGTAGAGAGGTTAGCATAAGGATATTTGATTTTTTTCTGTAGTCTATTTTAGGGGAAGCCTCCCAACCAAAAACAGGGTTAGAAAGGGCACCAATTGCTGGGAGGCCTAGACATTCCATGGCCTTAAAAGAAAACTCCAGGGCCTCGGGTTTTTTGTGCCCAACAACGATGTCCCTTCCACCAGGCCCCTCCTCTCCTCCTCGCCAAGCCAGTGCCCCGAGCATGGGTGTCCTTTTTGGGAAAATAGATGGGTTTCCCTGGTAGTTGAGAAAGAACCACCAGGTAAAAACCAGGAATCGCCCTCCATTTTTTCCACCAAATCAAGAAGGAAACCTGCTGTGGATGGTTGCGAAATCCAGTTCGCACCACCCCATTTCGCACCTAAGAATCCCTGGTGTCTGATTCGATTCCCCGGTTGATACCCCGAGCGCCGTGCTCCGGGCGCCGCGCTCGGCTCCCCACCTCAGCGCCTCGGGCAGCCGCAGGCTGCTGAGGCCCCGGTCCGCCGCCGCCGCCGAGCCGAAGCCCAGCTCCTACGAGCCGCGAATCGAGGTCGCTGAGGGTCTCTGTAACGACCCGGTTAGTTGCTTGGACAGTATAAGACCTGGTTGCGCCACCCAAGCTGGGTGGCTTCCAATCCCCCCCAGGAACTGGCGGGACCGCTCAAGCCGTTTTGCTGGTGAACCTCTGCAAAAACAGGGATCCGGATGCATTATACATCAGAACATTGCCTTGTCAAGGGTGTTGTTTCCCTTTTTTGGTGTTGAGAAAGCAACATGTTTCAAATGGTTGCAAAATGTATCTTTTAAGGAGGCCTGAAAAAGTTTAACTTTTTGTGGGTTTAGTGGACAACCCCTTGAGTTCCCAAAAGGTTAAAGTCTAAAGATCCGTTGCCCAAGAGTCAAGTATGAGGGCCCGTGGACTCTTGCGATCGAAATGCGGGAGATGCCTCTCGCCCTGAGAAAGCGAATGACCCTCATGGTTGTCGTAAAATTTCAAATTCTAGCAGTCAAGTGGTTGGATGTCCCACCACAACAAGCAAACATGTAACATGTTTCCCAACAACAACCATGCATAAACCTCAAGAATGCAGGGGAAATGGAATGAGAAACGGAATGAGTTAGAATCACCCCGTCTATACTGAGCATACTGATGTGGTTTCCTTTATTTGGGGGGTTCATTCCATTTCTCATTCCCTACTTATCGCACCAAGTTGTAAAGGGGAGCCAAAACGAGCACAACACCTGGGCTCTGAGAAAAAGAAAACAGCCCAGATCCCCTTGCGGTGTGACTTTAAAGGAAATGCCCACCAAAATAATGGTCCCTGCAGAAAACCTGACCTATCCACAAATCCCCCCCAAAAAACAAGAGTAAGATGCAACCGCTTAAACCGGTACAAACAGATCTTTAACCCTGGCAACAGCCCGCATCTTCCGGGCAACCCCCTGGCCGCTCGGTCGCTGTCGTTGCCAAGGAGCCAGGTGCCGCAGCGAGGCCGGCAGAAGAAGCCCGGCGAGGCTGGGGTCCCCGCAGCCGGTCTCGTTGCAGAAGAGGCGCAGCCGCTCGAGGCCTGCAGGTTTTTTTCCCGTCGCGCCACCGCCCCGCTGGGTTTGCCGAAGTTCCTCCCCTGAAGTGGGCTTCTACACTACCAGGAGGGGAGGCTGCTTGCTTGTCCCACAAACAGTGGAAAAGGCAAACCACGGGGGAAGCTCCCAAAGGAAAGTCGCTTTCCAGAAGGGGTCGGAGGCGCTTCCGTGGTTGATGAGCAGGGTACCACTGCCACAAAGTGGGACCTGCTGTCTGCTTGCTGGAGTACACCGGTCCAGGTACCCGTCCACCTCTGAGCCTCTTACATGGTCCTGCCCTGCTGTGGAGGGACGAAATCCTGCACCACCTAAGACATGATGGGAAAGCATTGTTCGTTGGTATTTACAGGGGAATCATCATTCCAGGGTTTCTTAGGTGGTGCGAAATGGAAATATCGTCCAGTATGTTCACCAGGAAAGTTGCCCGGACCCCGGGCTCGGAAAAGTTGTGGGAAGACACCTTGGCCGCCATGCGCTCTGTAATCGGCGAAATCCGAGTGAAGTAGTCATTGTTGGAGGAGCAATCACGAAACGGTATCACAGGAAAGGGCAAACCGTTTCATCTTCCACAACCATGAGCCCCAGGCAAAGCCAGTCTGGCATGCTCAAACAATCGAGATAGGCCTGATACTTGGAGGGTCTTGGAGCGCTATGTTCAGCAACGTGCTACAAACTCCGTTATTGGGGGAAGACTCTTTTAGCGGGAAACAGGAAGCTGACGAAATGAAAGGATGACGAGGGTTCTTTGGGTTCCATGACCAAAAAGGGGTACAAAGAGGTAAGTGGCTTGAACTTTTGAGTTAGGCAAAGTATTGAGTCAAAATAAGAAGCCGGCATAAGCTCACGGAGAAACGGAAAGTAGGTCCTGTGAACTACAGCACGGTACCTTCAAGCGGGACAAGGACGAGGACAAGGGACCAAGGCTGGCCTACAAGGGGATGGCTTCTGTTGGTTGGACACTTGGCCCGCTACTGGTGAGCGCTGTGTTCGCCCCAAGCCCAACGCGCGTGTTGGTTGGGCCCATTGCCAAGAAGGGAAACGGGAATTGGACCCCTTTGCTCTTGGAATGCTTATCGCCGAGCACCTTCTCCTTCACTGTGCTGTCCGGCAACTGGGTTTGCATGCCCGGATGAAGTTTGGGGCCCAACGCTTAGAAACCCCACTTACAAAGGTTGACATGGAGGTCCCGCGCGAAGCCACACGGACCCTGCTTTTCCGACCCCTAGCCTGCTTTTTGACCTCCATGTGACCTTTGGTTTTCCGCCACAAAAGCAGGTTGAAACCCACTTTAAAAACTCTTGTTTGCTGCAGATGCCACAAACGATTCAGGCATCTGTTGCAGTCGTGACCAGATTCCTGAACACCCAACGGCACGCAAAATGAAAACAATGTTTCAAAACCTGTCAAACCATCGTGCCTTCTCACAAAATCACACTTCCACTCCCCGAAATCAATAAAAGCAAACTAAAACAAACCTCAAGAACCAAAACATGAAAGAAAAAAAGAAGAACAAAAAAAACGACACTCATGAAAGCAAAAAGCTCCGTTTTTGTCGCCGTGTGCGCCGGGCTCGCGGCTCTTTGCGCGCGCGAATTCGCGCGCGCTCGGACGCATCCTTCGGCGCCTGGCGGCAGGTTGGCGCCCAAGGCCGCCAGGCCCCGGTCGCTGAGGTTCTCGCAGCCGTCCAGCACCAGGCCTCGAGTCCAGGCGGGCGGGCGAGGTATCCTCTACCTGGATGGTCTGGGAGTCAAAATGACTAACTTTGCCCTGGCAACCCACCAAAGAGGTGGTTGTAAGTCCCCTGCAACTAGGGTTACTCACCATTTAGCGATTCCTCCCAGACCATCTACGTACGTCTGGAACCCTTCGGCGTTTCCGGGGAAGATGAGGTTCCTTGTGAAAAGGGACGGGTGGGGACGAGGGGGGGCTACCCACAATTCCTTTTCCCCATTCTTTTCAGCCATCGTTCTTTCCAAAAACCAGGCATTTCCCCTGGGTTTTTGGTGGCTTTCTAGAAAGAAGGATCCCCGGAAAGAATCAGGAAGTTACCCTTGAACTTTGGAGAGTTGCCCAAGGCGCACGTATGTTTCTTGGAAAGGCCATTTCCCGGTAGCAAGGAAGTGGATTTCAGAAAACACGGTGCAACCCATCAAAGAGTCCCTGGAGGAAGATGGCCCCACGTTAGGTCGCGCACAAAAAGCCCGTCTGCCCATTGATGAAGTTACCTTCCGCCCTCGAGGAAACCAGGAGAACACCAGGGAAACAAACACTACCCGGAAGCATAAGGAGAAACAAACACATTTGGAGCAAGCCACCAAATTCAACAAAACCCCTCTGTGCACCTGCGTCCTTTTGGGTAAAAATGATGGCACTGGTGACTGATGGCGAACCAAACCAATGCCATCTATGGTTAACCAAACTGAACCCGTGAGGGGGTGTCTCAAAACGAGTCAGACCTCTCCATGTTCTTCTTCGCAGCCCCTGCTATGTCCGCAAATGGGCCTTTTCTTTTGAGCCCTCCCCTCTAAAAAATGAGCATAACCCAAAATGGCTATGGCTCTGGCTATGTCTCCCCCAAATCAACCCTGGCCCGGGTCCAAAGTATTCGAGGACGTGCCCCCCCTCCCCCGAGATCAACTCCTCAGGTCCTCGGACCACAGTTTCCTAGAACCCAACAAGGGCTACCCTCACAAGAAAATGAGCCACCCAGAAGGGGGGGTGATCAAAAATGACCTGAGTAACTTGTTCTAGTGAAAAGTATCATTGTTTCAGTGGTTTCCCCCAATGGTCATCTTGTCTGAAGGACCTTTTGATCAACCCCCATATGACCCAGCCAAACATCGCCAGTGAGCCAAGTCCCGGCGTCCGGACCGAGGCGCGGAGGCTCTTCAAACTTCGGGGCAGCACCAGGGCGGCGAGGCCCGCATCCCCTGAGGGGCGCCAGGCGAAGGGGGTCGTTTTAGGGAGCATTTCTGTTTCCACTCTGAAATTGAGGGTTTAAGTGCCATCATTTCCGTGGGAGGTATCCGCCGACAACAGACAGCGTGTTGGACATAAGAAATGCTTTACCCCTCCGCAGGGGCACCATTTCCAAAAACATTGGGGTGCTTTCGCATCCTTTGCAGCTCCAGCGGCACATCGCCAGCATCACCTGCATCATCCGCATCAGCGCCTGCCAAGGATGCAGATGATGCAAGTGATGCTGTGGATGTTGCCCATGCTGGTGAAGGAACATCTGGAAATGAAGGAGGGAAAGGGGGGAAAGGATCTCAACAGGGAAAGGGGGGGAAAGATCTCAGGGAGGAAAGGGAGAAGATCTGGGGAAAAAAAAGATCTTAGGGAGGAAAGGGAGAAGATTTGAGGAAAAAAGGCCAACAATAAAAGGGGGGAAAGATGTTAGAAAGGAAAAGGGACAAGCTCTCAGGGGGGGAAAGGTTTTAGGAGGGAAAGGGGGGAAAGGATCTCAACAGGGAAAGGGTGGGAGAGCTTAGGGAGGAAAGGGGGGGGGGGGAAGGGATCTTAGGGAGGAAAAGGGAGAAGATCTTGGGGGGAAAAGGCCTTAGGGGGGAAAGGCGGGGAAAGGATCTCAACAAGGAAAGGGGGGAAAAGATCTTAGGAAGGAAAAAGGGGAAGATCGCAGAGGAAAAAAAGGCCTTAGGGGGAAAGGGGGGGGGGAAGGATCTCAACAGGGAAAGGTGGCAAAAGATCTTAGCGAGGAAAGGGAGAAGATCTCAAGGGGGGAAACTCAACAGGGAACGGGGGGAAAAGATCTTAGGGAGGAAAAGGGAGAAGAACTCAGGGTGGGAAAAGACCTTAGGGGGGACAGGGGAGAAAGGATCTCAATAAAGAAAGGTGGAAAAAGATCTTAGGGAGGAAAAGGGAGAAGATCTCAGGGGGGAAAAGGCCTTAGGGGGGAAAGGGGGGAAGGGATCTCAACAGGGAAAGGGGGGAAAACATCTTAGGGAGGAAAAGGGAGATGATCTCGGGGGGGAAAAGGCCTTAGGGGGGAAAGGGGGAAAGGATCGAAAAGCGAGAAGATCTCAGGCGGGGAAAAGGCCTTAAGATCTCACGGGGGAAAGGCCTTAGGGGGGAAAGGGGGAAAGGATCTCAACAGGGAAAGGGGGCAAAGGATCTTAGGGAGGAAAAGGGAGAAGATCTGAAAAGGCCTTAGGGGGGAAAGGGGGAGAAAGGATCTCAACAGGGACAGGGAGAAAAGATCCTAGGGAGGAAAAGGGAGAAGATCTCGGGGAGAAAGGGGGAAAGGATCTCAACCGAGGGAAAAGATCTTGGGGAGGAAAAGGGAGAAGCAGGGGGGAAAGGATCTCAACAGGGAAAGGGGGGAAAGAGGGAGGAAAAGGGGGAAAGGGGGGAAAGGATCTCAGCAGGGAAAGGGGGGGAAAGATCTTAGGGAGGAAAGGGAGAAGATCTTGGGGCAAAGGCCTTAGGGGGGAAAGGGGAGAAATGATCTCTACAGGGAAAGGGGTGGAAGAGATCTTAGGGAGGAAAGGGAGAAGGTCTAAAGGAAAAAAGGCCAACAGGAAAGGGGGGGGGAAGATCTTAAGAAGGAAAAGGGAGAAGCTCTCAGGGGGGAAAAGGCCTTAGGGGGGAAAGATCTCAACAGGGAAAGGGGGGAAACAATCTTAGGAAGGAAAAGGGAGAAGATCTGGAAAGGCCTTCGGGGTAGGGGGGGAAAGGATCTCAGCAGGGAAAGGGGGCAAAGGATCTTAGGGAGGAATAGGGAGAAGATCTCAGCGGGGGGAAAGGCCTTCTCAACAGGGGAAGGGGAAAGATCTCAGGGAGGAAAGGAAAAGATCTCGGGGGGGGGGGGGGGAAGGCCTTAGAGGGAAAGGGGGGGGAAAGGGAGGAAAAGGGAGACAGGGGCGAAAAGGCCTTAGGGGGGAAAGGGGGGAAAGGATCTCAACAGGGAGAGGGAGCTTAGGGAGGAAAAGGAAACTCAGAGGGAGAAAGGGCCTTAGGGGGGAAAGGGGGAATGGATCTGAACAGGGAAAGGTGGCAAAAGATCTTAGGGAGGAAAAGGGAGAAGATCTCAGGGGGGGAAAGGCTTTAGGGGGGAAAGGGGGGAAAGGATCTCAGCAGGGAAAGGGGGAGAAAGAACTTAGGGAGGAAAGGGAGAAGATCTGGGGGCAAAGGCCTTGGGGCGGAAAGGGGAGAAATGATCTCAACAGGGAAAGGGGTGGAAAAGATCTTAGGGAGGAAAGGGAGAAGATCTGGGAAAAAAAGGCCAACAGGGAAAGGGGGGAAAGATCTTAGGAAGGAACAGGGAGAAGGTCTCAGCAAGGGAAAGGCCTTAGGGGGAAAGGGTGGGAAGGATCTCAACAGGGAAGGGGGGAAACAATCTTAGGAAGGAAAAGGGAGAAGATCTGGAAAGGCCTTCGGGGTAGGGGGGGAAAGGATCTCAACAAGGAAAGGGGGCAAAGGATCTTAGGGAGGAATAGGGAGAAGATCTCAGCGGGGGGAAAGGCCTTAGGGGGGAAAGGGGGGAAAGGATCTCAACAGGGAAGGGGGGGGAAAGATCTCAGGGAGGAAAGGAAAAAGATCTCGGGGGGGAAAAGGCCTTAGGGGGGAAAGTGGGGGAAAGGGAGGAAAAGGGAGATGATCTCAGGGGCGAAAAGGCCTTAGGGGGGGAAAGGGGGGAAAGGATCTCAACAGGGGATCTTAGGGAGGAAAAGGAAACTCAGAGGGAGAAAGGGCCTTAGGGTTAAGAGTTTGGATTGCACGGAACGTCTGCAAACAGTAGAATAATTATTTAGCAAAACATAGCAACACAATTAGCAAAATTAAATTGCACTGGAACTATATTTTTTGCAAATGCGTTCGCCAAGCGCTGGCCAAGATTAGCAAAAATTAGCAAAGGTTAGTAAACATTAGGACACATTAGCAAAAAATAGCAACCCTCTCGCAAAATGAGCTTCCAGGCGGCCAAAACCACGAGAGGGTTGCTAAATATTGCTATGTTTTGCAAATGTGTTCGCCAAGCCCTGGTTAAGATTTGCAAAAATTAGCAAACATTAGTAAAAATAGTTTAAAAAAAAAAAAAAAAAAAAAAAAGCAACCCTCTCGCAAAATGAGCTTCCAGGCGGCCAAAACCACGAGAGGGTTGCTAAATATTGCTAATTTTTGCAAATGCGTTCGCCAAGCCCTGGTTAAGATTTGCAAAAATTAGCAAACATTAGCAAAAATTAGTAAAACAATAGCAACAATTAGCAACCCTCTCACAAAATGAGCTGCCAGGGGGCCAAAACCACGAGAGGGTTGCTAAATATTGCTATTTTTTGCAAATGCGTTCGCCAAGCCCTGGTTAAGATTTGCAAAAATTAGCAAACATTAGTAAAAAAAAATAAAATTTAGCAAAAATTAGCAACCCTCTCGCAAAATGAGCTTCCAGGAGGCCAAAACCAGGAGAAGGTTGCTGAATATTGCAATTTTTTGCAAATGCGTTCGCCAAGCGCTGGCCAAGATTAGCAAAAATTAGCACAAACTGGCAAAAATTAGCAAAAAATAGCAACACATAGCAAACACGCTGAGTGAAGGAGGTCCATCATTGTTGCAGGAGCAATGCCATTCAGCATTGACCGTTGCTGCCGTCACTAATTGAAATTGCTAAATGAAAGCCCAGCTCAAAGCTGTTGCAATCATTTGCAATCTAGAAGTGCAAAATGGAAATCCACCTGACCTCGATTGCAATTCTCCTTTGCAATTCAATTACTATTTTTTGCTAAGATACTTCAGTGGTTGCCAGTCTCCCAACTCTTAACCTTAGGGGAGAAAGGGGGAATGGATCTCAACAGGGAAAGGTGGCAAAAGATCTTAGGGAGGAAAAGGGAGAAGATCTCAGGGGGGAAAGGCTTTAGGGGGGAAAGGGGGGAAAGGATCTCAGCAGGGAAAGGGGGGGAAAGAACTTAGGGAGGAAAGGGAGAAGATCTGGGGGCAAAGGCCTTAGGGGGGAAAGGGGAGAAATGATCTCAACAGGGAAAGGGGTGGAAGAGATCTTAGGGAGGAAAGGGAGAAGATCTGGGGGAAAAAAGGCCAACAGGGAAAGGGGGGAAAGATCTTAGGAAGGAACAGGGAGAAGGTCTCAGCAAGGGAAAGGCCTTAGGGGGAAAGGGTGGGAAGGATCTCAACAGGGAAAGGGGGGAAACAATCTTAGGAAGGAAAAGGGAGAAGATCTGGAAAGACCTTCGGGGTAGGGGGGGAAAGGGTCTCAACAGGGAAAGGGGGCAAAGGATCTTAGGGAGGAATAGGGAGAAGATCTCAGCGGGGGGAAAGGCCTTACGGGGGAAAGGGGGGAAAGGATCTCAACAGAGAAGGGGGGAAAGATCTCAGGGAGGAAAGGGAAAAGATCTCAGGGGGGGAAAAGGCCTTAGGGGGGAAAGTGAGGGAAAGGGAGGAAAAGGGAGATGATCTCAGGGGGGACAAAGGCCTTAGGGGGGAAAGGGGGGAAGGGATCTCAACAGGGAGAGGGCGGAAAACATCTTAGGGAGGAAAAGTGAAAAATCTCAGAAGGAGAAAGGGCCTTAGGGGGGAAAGGGGGAATGGATCTCAACAGGGAAAGGGGGGCAAAAATCTTTGAGGGGAAGGGGGGCAACAATTCCAAAGGGACGCAAATAAGAAAGCAGGCCTGTACTGGCCTGAGCCGGAGGCGTTAAAATAAATCTGCACTCTACACCTCCAAACAAGCTTTTTCAAACTGCCTGGAGTGGCTCAAAGATCCTGTCTGACCTGTGACACTTAAGCCTTGTTGAATTAATTACACCCTTTATACGCTGCTATTGATGGGATTCCGCCTTGGGGTATGGTCCTCTCAATGCTTGGAGGTGAAACCTTGTCAGACCCACAAAATCATTCCTCAATAGGAGCTTGTTCCATTGATTCAGATTGCCCATTCTCTGCTAGTCCCAGTTTGGGCCTCTTTGAGAAGGGTAGAAACCGAAAGGAGAAGGGGCGAGAATGGCTCACCAAAAGAGGTCGAATGAAGGAGCCCTTTTGCCTTGGCGACGCAAAAGAGGACACGTGGCAGTTTCCGGAAGAGCAGAGTAGCCAAGTAGCCGAGTTGCCGAAAAGCCGGTAGCTTTGGGCATGGTCCAAAATAGGGGTCTCGCGGCAGGGAAATCGGGGTTGCCACTCCGACGGCACCTCTCGCACCTATTGGCCGTTAGGAGCATCTTGGGTCATCAAATTTGCAAAGCATGCCACCTCAGAGACCACGAAACAAAGAAGCCATCGCAACCTCCAAAGATCCTTCGGCTTATGGGTTCTGAACCAGCAATCCAATTTGCCAATTCAGGGTATCAAGAAGGTGACGCCTGTTGGAATCTCGCACCCTTCTGCCAACCAAGTTGGGCAAGGTAGCAGAACCACTTCATGACTAAATGGCCAAAAGTGGAATTGCTTGGGCAAAAGCAGGTGTGCTCATCGCCCACGGCAAAACAGACACAGGGAAAGGGACAGGGACCTAGAGAAAGGGACATTGACATGTCATGACTAAATCGCCCAAATGGAATTCCTTGAGGCTGGGCCAAATCCTGGGGCCGCGCACCGATCTTGCAGTTGCTCTTGAAGGAGAGGTCCAGCACTTCCAGCTGCGGCCAGCCAGCCGCCAAGGACGCAAGGCCCTGGTCTCCTCACTTCTAGGCTGAAAAAATCGGACCTTGCTTGCCTGGTTAATGGAAGACAAAGGGCTCCCAAAAAAGCAAAAACCGACAAAAAGGGGAGCTAATCCTGGGGAAGACTTCTCGAAGACAGTTTGCGGCTTCTCTAGTGGTACCCTCCCCATTCTCTTCAAAAATCCTTCTCTTCAAAAGATGGGCCCACACCCCTGGAAACAAAAGGCGGTGTCCAAAGAGAACGATGGGTGAAGAGAATGGGGCATCAACCTTAGAGCCCGAGCAGAGGAAGGAAGGCGATAAAACATGTTCTTGCCAAAGCGGGTCGCCGCGGGTTGGGGATTGTTGTGGGGAGCTGGTGGCTTGGGGGAGCTGCTCTCTTTTTTTGGGCTTAGCATTTTTTTGAATTGCAGCCCACCCCTTTTCGACGGTCAGCGCGCTCTTTGATTCATGCTGCCAAATTCCTGACCATGAAAAAGAACCCAGCAGGTGGAGGGAAGGAGATAAGACGGGTGGCAAAGGAGCCGAATCAACCTGACACCGAATGGACGGGGAACTCGGACGGAGGCATTGGGCATTCCTGTGCTCAACAATCCCAGCCAACGTGTAACAAGCAGCAATCTGAAAATAGGGGTTGATCAATATTCCTGGCCCACAAATGACTAACGGTAACTGTTCCCATTTAGTGGGAAGTATCATATTTGTTTCCCTGATGGTCACTCCATGCAAAGGACCTTTGATCAACCCCCACATGTGTACAATCCATTCCGTTGCGGGAAGTGGCCAGGCACGTTTGCTCAGTCGACACAAGCGATACAAAATGGCCTTGGTCCCCAAAATCGCGATGTCAGCCACCCATTTTGTAGGGCCTTCTTGTTTTGCCAACCCTCCGGCAACTGCCAAGTGAACCAAATTCAGAACACAAAACCTTGACGAGTTGCGGTCCACTACATGGTTTCCAACTTGTTCTCACTTTGCTTCTACTTAGTTGGCATCTACAGGGTTTCCAACTTATAGGGTGTCCAACCCGTTCCCAACATTGGAACCGCTTGCACGGAAGGCCCTTCCTATCCGTTCATAGAGTAACCAAGTGGCCTTTCACCTTCGCCCCACGAGATCCGATCCCCAAAAGGTGCCCCTGGTGCAACTTTGTCACTTCCAGGGCGAAATCGGCTGCACAAACCCAACGGCGCTCGGCGCCAAGTCGCCTGTGACCAGGTAAGACCCGAAAAAGCCCACGGGGCCGAGCCAAAACAAACCCTCGTCCAAGCCGAGCGCCGCTCCTGGGATGCCAGGCCTTCGGCTCAGGATGAAGCAATCCAGGGTGAGGCGCCGCCTCAATGGGGGAGTGAGTGGCCAAGAGTCAAAATCCAAATCGTACCCCCAGTGAACATCCGAGTCAATCCAACCACTAAAATAGACTGAGTGGTGCACCTACCCCAAAATGGTGCCATTGGTATTGACCCACAGCCATTTCTTTGGGCGTCTGGAATCTGCAAGTAATGTTTGAATCCGCAATTGGTTCGAGATTGGCCAGAATGTGCGCAAGCAAAACCATATCCAGAACCTCGAGGTTCGCCAGTTTAGAGGACCCGCATTTGACGAATTGTCTTTTTGGGGGGTGGTTTGGGAACGTCAACTCAGAAAACAGATTATGCACTTTGCGTCCCAAGGAGATGGGCAAAATGAACCCTGGTGCCCCTGGTCATGAGTGGAATTCCAACCAAATGAAAACGTGTCAGCTTCCGCTTACTTTGCGTGGGTGGCTTTGACAAGAACCAGAGGCTCAACTCGCCAATCCAAATGCCAATGGGCGACCGTGAAGCCAGATGCCCAAAACGCACTTCCAAAGACCCCAACCGGCAAGGCCTCCGTGCTTCCTGAGTGGATTTGCAACTTTCGAATGACCACCAGAATTGTCCAAACCCGAAAAGCACAAAGCCCAAATTAAGCTGTGACCGCACGGGCGGTTTTCTTCATGTAGATTGCATAGGGTCATGGGGCGTATTTTTGTGGAGGACGCCCCCGTGTCTTGAATCAGTACTTAGGACTCAAGGAAACTCGCCCTGGTTCTTGGGGTCCGCGACCAACCCGCCAGACCTCAGGCCATGGGGATCTGGCCCAGGCGCAGTGTGCTGGGCAGGCTCCGCGCCAGAGCCACCAGGCCCAGGTCACCCAGGTGCACCCAGCCGGCCATGCCTGAGTCTCGCCAATTCGGCCGCTCGAGTGGCCGTCGTTGCCCTGGTACTTGCTTTTTGTTAAGGCTCATGGCCCCTATGCGCCCAGCGCCCTCCAATGAAGAACCCGGACTCAGGGGCCTGAGGAAAAGCACCCTTTTCGAGGGCCCAAAAAGCATCGGGAGCCGGGGCTTTAGGGTTGGTACTGCAGGCTGATTGGTTTCTCGGCTTAGGCTCGTCATTGCAACATCCGTCCCAGCCGCTGGAAAAACCCGCCACCCACCCGAGCCCTCCGGTGGTTGGCTCATGCTTCTTGAGTCGACCCGTGTTTTTGGGTGGTTCTAAGGGAGACCAAAGGGAAAGCCCCGCGGCATTTGCTTTTGAGGCAGAAGCTTCAAAAAAAGGACATAGCCCTGGCGTCCATTTGCTTAAGCCCCCTGAAAAATACAAATATGTCCAGTAGTCATAGATTCCTCCAAAAACAGGAAAAACAACTAAAAGATATTCTTGAGCAAATGATAGATTCCTTTTTCAAACAGCAAAAACAAAAAACTTAAGCCAACGGATGCTGGCCTTTCTTTGGTTCGACCCGTTTCGGCCGCGTCGGTCAACTTTGGCGAGCCGCAGAGCGTGAGGATCTCCAGCTCCGGGGGCATCCGCAGAGCGATGGCCTGGCGGGGCAGCTCCAACGATGGAAGCTGAGTGGCTCAGCGCTCAATCCGTAACCCTACCTAGGTCCGACATACCAGCGCGCCAAAAAGCAACTTCCACGCTGGGCGCCTTGTCGGAAGGCTCTGAGAGGGTCCAAGAAAGGACCCGGTGAACTCGGATCCGTTCAAGATGGTTGGAAGACTGGAGGCCCTGATCACGCCTCTCTGGTGCCGAAACGGTAGTTTTCTCAGAGGAACCGGGCTATGAGGGTCTAAAACGAGAAGCAGGGTGACATTGACTGCATCCCAAATGTTTGTGAGATGTGGAACATCCTTCAAAAAAATAAGAAGTGGTAAGCCAAATGGAATGTCTAGCCGGTTGCCTACTGTGGTAACTGGGATGCATGATGAAGGTTCGTTTCTTGGGTGGTCCCCTATTTCAGGTTGTTGAGTATTGACTCCATGCCAGATGGAGTTTTCGAAGGGCGGCTCCTTCGTTCGGAAACCCAAGACGAGAACAACTCATTTGGGTTCCCCCTATTTTGATACAATCGCAGACTGGTAAATGGAACGAGTGGGCATGGAAACCACAAGATCCATGGTGATTTCGGTCCAGCGGCCTGTAGGCTCTCATCCCCCAGGGAGTTGCCATCGTTGAAGTCCAGAAACAGCTCCTTGAGGCTCCTTCGGCTGCGGACCCACGACCCAAGGAGCCAGGGTCCAATTTGCCGTTTGCCCTAAGGGACTAGAAGAGGTTGGGGTCCTGTTTGAACCCGACTCACCCTCCCAACTCCTGCCCCAACTTTTCCCCCCACACTACATATGGCAAGTTTGAGTTACTCTGTTCGGTCCATATTCAGCGGTCCTTCAAATGTAGACGGCCATGAATGAGAGGTCTCAGATTTGGCATCCGCTCTCCCTTCTCATCCCTTCAAAACCATCCCCTATTGTTGACTTCAGACTGATCCGGAGGCCGCTAAGGGGCGGGAACACTCTGCATTGAATGGAAATCAAGGGATATCCGTATCCGAAAACAATTTTCAACAACGGTGTTTCTCTTGTCCAAACCCATCCGGGCAGTGTCAAAATAGGGGGACCGGAACCCCCCCCCCACACAAAGAATAAATAACAAAATGGACCAGGCAGTGTCAAAATAGGGAGACCCCCCCCCCCCGCACAAGAATGAGTAACAAAATGGGCAAGGTGTCCTGTTGGTGTGTTTCCCTTTTAACCCCAAAATAAGACCCCATCCATCCGAGGCCCGTGTCCTTGGCAGCGCGTTTGCAAGCGCCTCCACTCCCACCTGGGGAAAATTGGTTTAAGGGTGTGTGTGTGTGTGTGGGGCCTTTTTTAGGGGATGGCAACCCCCAGGAATGGGGCCGTTTTGTTTAAAAACACAAAACACAAATGGGAAACCGAAAGGACCCATTGAAATCTTTTTCCGATTCCTATTTTGAGACATGCCAATACATTTGTTTCACAGGGCCTGTTGTAGAGGACTTGGCCTCGCCAGGTTCTCCTTAATGTCCGCCTTCGCCAGAGTTGCTCCCATATGCGCAACCCCATTCGACCCGATTGGCAAGGCGGAAATTCGGGGGGGCAATCAAGCCCATATACCGGGAAACTAGAGGAACCTGCGCTTACCTTTTTTCAAGGTGATAATCTCAAACAGGTCTTGGGGGTGTCTTGCCTTAGATATCGGGACCCAAATTGGAGGTTTTCCTGTTGGTTCCCTTTGAAACCACCCCAAAAGAGGTATCAAAGAGACGAGCCATCCGTTGGGGAATGGCCAAACCGACGAGAGCCCAGCCCACCCAAACCCAGAAAAGGTGTTAAACCCGGACCACGGGAACACCAATAGCCCCTGGAAGGTCTGGTGAAACATCAGGGAGCCGTTGTTTCAAGGAACTATGGGTTGCTCCACGTGACTAAACCTCCATTCAAACATCTCCCTAAGGAGGCACTCCTCTCTCATGGGGCAAGTCCAAAATTTATGATATTCAGAAGCAAATATCCGGAAGTTTCACTAGGGACCCTTTTGGTAGACATCATTTACGTGGAATTTGTGCCCAACCATGTTTGAGGGGTTTCCCATTGAAACTCATAGCCTCCTAGTTTCAGCGGCTAAAGAACCCATGATCATGAGGCAACTTGGTTTTGATCTTCACTTTCTTCGCGCCGTGCTGCTCCGTCTTCACTTTCTTGGCAATGCATGGCTCCATCTTCAACGTGCCGTTCTTCGCAGATTCCGGTTTTTATTCCCCCATGCACTCCACCCGCTCAAAGGCCCGATCGTCACTCGAAGACGTTGCCATCATAAATCGAAAACGTGCAAGCTCAAGATGTAAGTTAAACAAAACAAAAAATAGCTTGTTCATTCAATCATAAGATAATAAGCTTGTCTGAAGTGGAATCAATCAGAAATCATAGCAATACCAACACCTGGTGCCGCACAATTCCATTCTAACGGGGGGGTTCATGCGGATGTCACTGTGGATCCAGCAGGTGAACCCCTGAAACCCTCCAAAGAGGGCTCGAGGGGAAATATATAATTTTTGCAACGACTAATTATATCTAGGCACAAAATAAGGAGATACAATTCCTCCCCTCTCAGAGGGTTCCAAGTCACTGCTCCCCTCCACCGGTTCCCAGAGGAAAAAAATGCTCTAAACCGCCAGTGCGGGGAGAAAAAAACATGGCAGGTGACCCCCTTCCCCGCTTCCCGAAGCGAGAGACCAATCATCGGTGGCCTTTTGGCAAAAATCGATGAGCCAATGGAATACGCCCCATCGAAACCTGGAACCCATCTAGTTCTCCCGAAGCTAACCCGAAAATAAGACACCTATGGTTCCAAACTAGCTATGGTTTCAGTCTATTTGGTCTATTTGGACCAAACTAACCCACACTAACTATGGAATAACCCATTTTTAACCCCAACCCCAACCCCAACCCTTTTCAAAGGCGAGGCGCCGGCTGCACCCGCTTGGCCGCGAAGCCGAAACCCAGCTTCAGGCGGAGCAAAGAGGTCAACGTGCGCAGCGACGGCGCCAGCTGCACCAAGAACTCATGGCCTTCAGTCGAGGAAATCAAGGGCTTTCAGATGTTTTCCGGAAGGAAGGGAGGGGAAGGGAAGGAGACAGCAAGGAAGGAAGGAAGGAAGGAAGGAAGGAAGGAAGGAAGGAAGGAAGGAAGGAAGGAAGGAGGGAGGGAGGGAGGGAGGGAAGACGGAGGGGGGGGGGGGAGGGGAGGGGAGGGGAGGGGAGGGGAGGGAGGGGAGGGGAGGGGATGGGAGGGGAGGGGAGGGGGGGGAAGGGAAGGGGAAGGGAAGGGGGAGGGGAGGGGAGGGAGGAGGGGAGGGGAGGGGAGGGGGAGGGGAGGGGAGGGAGGGGAGGGGGAGGGGGAGGGAGGAGAGGGGAGGGGTGGGGAGGGGAGGGGAGGGAGGGAAGGGAAGGGAAGGGATGGGAAGCACCTGTACCCCACCCCCCTCTGTTTGATACTTTACCCAGGGTCCCATACACCCTTGAAGGCCCCCCCCCAGAAATACCGACCCACCTGTGGAACAACTTGAAAAGATCAATATCGGAGGTGTGGTTCGGGTCCTAGCTGTAGCATGTGACATTCTCACAAAATAAATTGAACCAGTGGAACCCTAAAAAGCGGAACCTGCCATCCGTTTCTGCCCAAACCGGCCTAAAAAGAACACAACACCCGTGGTGCCCCGGCTGTTTCTAGCCAAACTCACCTACAAACCACACCTACGGTCCCTATATACCCTCATGGACATTCGCAGAACCCCTTTCCAACAGGACACCCGTGGGTCCCCCAGCTGTTTGAGTCCCCTAACCTACAAACCAGACCTACGCCTCCCCACCCTCCCTATCACCCGTGGTCCCTAACGAACACCCCCAAGTAATAAACCCCTGTTTATTCATATGGGGGTGTCCCTGGTTTTAGTGGGGTTGGTTCACTTTTGGAGGTTGGAACACCCCATCCATAAACTGGGGTTGACTAATACTGGGGTCATTATGTTGCCTGTTTCTAGGGGTTATCAAAGTCAGAAAATGGATTCGGTTGTTTCCCTTGAACCCATCACTGAACGGGGGTGACTTTGATGGCAAAATAATGAGGCCAGTCAAATGGTTACCTAGTGGCTTGCCTGGGATCCAGCGGGTGTTCTTCTTTGGGGCCCCTGTTGCTGGCCTCTCCAGCGGGTACAATAATGAGGCCAGTAATACTGTGGATGGACGAAATCCTGCACCACTTGGAAACCACGGGAAACCATTGCATCATTTCAGGGCTCCTTGGGTGGTGCGAAATGGATTTCGTCCATCCACAGTAGCGGGTCAACAGTCAGCTCCTTGCGGTCCCAGGGGCTGACCTCGGTGCACCAGCGGCAGCTCAGCTCCAGGTCTCGGAGCCCCGGCGCCAGCGCCGCCCCCAGCTGCGCCGCGTGGCGGTCGCCGATGCCCTGGGAGCCTGGCGCGGTGACAGGCTAAGCGACGAAGCCGGCGCGGCACGAGGGATACACAGGAAGGCTTGTGGTAACTCAGAAAGAAAGAAAGAAAGAAAGAAAGAAAGAAAGACAGAGAAAGACAGAGAGAGAGAGAGAGAGAGAGAGAGAGGCAAAGGGATAAAGAGAGAGACCAAAAAAGAATCAGAGAGAGGGAGAAAGAGCGCAATAAGTGATAGAGAGAAAGACTTGAAGGAGGAAAGAAAAAGAGAAAGAGAGAGAGAGAGGGAGAGAAGGAAGACAAAGAGAGAACTGAGATCGAGATGAAAGATAGTGACATCCGCAACAAGCGATAATTGTGATCAGTGCTTTCCCGACCTTTGAAAGCGGCAAGACGGGCCAGGAACGAGACTCGCATCCATCGCCACTGCAGTGGGCCGCGGGTCAAAACTGATGACCCCTCCCGAATGGATAGCTTCTTGGGTCCAACCCCCCCCAGACATCTGGAAAAGGCCCCTCCCAAATGGAAGCCAGGGCGAATGGAAGCCATTTGCCTAAGTCCCTGGAAAAAATGAGAATATGTCCAGTAGTGAAATCGATTCCCTTTACAATCAAAAGGGGAAAATAGGACATATTCTTCAGCAAATGGAACCCATTTGACCCCGATGGAGGCAAGAAGTCTCCGCTTCAAAGCAAAGGTGTCATGTCTTTAGCTGCTTAAGGAACGGGGTTGGGGGATGGGGTGTATCCCCATTTCTGTGATACAACGGAATATGCCCCTGGTTACAAACGTCCCCCCCTCACCCACCCACCCACCCACCCACCCACCCACCCACCCACCCACCCACCCACCCACACCCACCCACCCACCCACCCACCCACCCACCCACCCACCCACCCACCCACCCACCCACCCACCCACCCACCCACCCACCCACCCACCCACCCACCCACCCACCCACCCACCCACCCACCCACCCACCCACCCCCCAAATAAACAAATTCCAATTTGTTTGACTTCATGGGCCCCCAAAAGGCCGCCTGTGAAGTCCAGCACCAGCTGCTCGCGCTCCTCGTCCGCCCTCAGCACCTCCGGCAAGCCCAGCGCCTGAAAGCCAGGCCCAAGCGCCAGCGAGCGACGAGCTCCCCGGCCGTTACGAAACGACGGCCGGGTGGATGGCGCTGGGCTGCGTGGCAAAAGGCCGGACCAACTCAAAGAACTGCAAGGGTCAATGGATGTCCAACCAAACCAGATCTTTCCTTCTGCAGTGGGTTTACTGAAATTGCCACTTTTGACCCGGGGGATTGACAATTCCATTAGGCAAGCAATGGAAACCCAGTTGACTAAGAGCCCCTGGTTGATTCCAAGGAAGGTGCAACGTATGTCAGACGGGACCCAGATCATTTGGGAGAACAACCTCTCCCCTACTTCTCTGCCGGACTGATCAGAGTCAACATGTGCGAGTTGCTGCTGCAGGTTCCGTCTTCTGCTATCCCCGAGGTTCGACTTACACGCAAGCAAAAAACCAGTTGCCTCTCCTTTTCGGGTTTTGCCGGGGAGGGAAGCCCGATTTTCTTGGACTCTCCACTTCTCGCGCCGGCGAAAGCGCCCAAAGGCGCTGAAAAGGACAACGCTTCCGCACTTCAAGGGTCAGAACACCCACATCCTTCTCTTGTGGTAAATCCACTGAAGAAAACAAGACCCGATTTGGTGGGAACTCCATGGACCGTTTTTGGTTTTTGTTGCCCGGAACCAGCAGTGAATTGGGTTTCGGATTCTTCTTGACGCCCCGAAGCCAGCCCAAGAAGTTTTGCAGGGTGTTGAGCCTCAGAAAACTCGGCACGGATTCGGATAGTTTGGCTTGGGGCAACCATGGCGAACCAGAAAACCGGAGAAAACTAACCCAGGGCAATCGTCGCAAAAAAGCGGGCAAAGAACCCATACTTCCAAGAGGCACAGCATATGCAGTGCAAGTGGAAAAATGAACAAGCGAAGTGAACAACAACATAAAAATCAAAAAAAATCACCGCTTCCTGCAATCCTCAAAAAAACGAGAACAAAAAGCCCACGGGATTCTCCACACCTGGCCATGTATCAAAATCCAAAATCGTACCGTGAACATCCGATTCAATCCAACCACTAAAATAGGTTCTAAAAAATGGGTGGTGCACCTACCCCAAAATGGTATCCCATTGGTTTTGACCCGCAGCCAGCTTTGTACTTGGTTCGGCCTGGCTGGCCTGAATTCACCAAAGAAAGACCAAAATGGGATCCCAAAAACGGGATCCCGACAACCGCCGCCTTGCCTCTGCAATGTCCAGCTCCACCGCCTGTCGCCAGCCTGGACACCACCCCCCAGCTCCCAGCTGTCTCGGGGTCCATGTGACATGGAAGTCCAGAAGAAGTTTCAACGAGAATCCCAGCATCTTCCATTGACAAAAAGTGCTACCGTAACGCATGTTTTTGTTTCTTTCTTTTTTAAGATAATGGTGAAATAGACCTGTTGTTTGAACCCGAGGAATCCTCAAAAACACCGAAAGCCACACGTTTCGGTGGGGATTTATGTCTAGCCAACCACATTTCAGCATAGGTGGCCTTTTGGAAAAACAGATGGCCCTGTAAATGGAAGAAACCCCACCCTAAACCAGTGCCGGCAATCTATTATTTTTATCAAACTAACCCAAAAAGGACACTATGCTTTTGGGGTTCCAAGCATTAAAACCGCGCATTGGAATTGGCTCGGCCCCAAAACCGCCTGCCACCGCGAAGATGGCACGCAGCGTGCGGTTCACCCGCTCGTAGCCTGCGGATCGGCGGGGGTCGAGCTCAGCGTTCGGATCGGAGCCGACGGAAAGTGTGCTCCGTGGTCCTAAGACCAGTTCTGCATTTTGTGGTGCGAGGTCTTTGCTCGAGCGGTTGAGGAGAGTGACAGTCGGGGTCCCAAGTAGTAAACCCTGGTTTGGACAAAGTCAAACCCACCGATTGCAGGGGAATCCCGCCCGCCTCGCTTGTGGTTGAAGCATGGATGCAAGCTAAGCGTGACTGTGTTTGGCACTGCCCACATTGCAAGCCCAGCATGAGCATCACCTACCTGCATCACGAGCATTGCTAGCATCGCCGATACCCCAAAAACTGCCAAAAGCAGCCCACACCTCAATGTCCGGACACTTCCGTGGAAGCCCTGTTCAACATTGAAGCATCGGCCAATCTCTGGAGGAACTACGAAAGTGCTCCAATCCTTTTGAGCAAAACATGGGGTAGCCCACCCAAAACCCGCCCTCTACCCCTTTTTTCGGGCTCCTTTCATTGCCAGAGCCCTTGACAGACCACCCCCCCACCCAAAACAAAACGGATCCGCCCTCCACCCTCCGCCCTCCGCGCTCCGACCTCCCTGACCTCGGCCCTGCTCTGCTCTGAGGCTGGCGCTGGGGTGCGAAGCCAAGGGCTCCAGGTCCAAGCCGCGGCCCGCGATGCAGTTCAAGATGTGCCAGCGGTCCGACTCCTCACTGGCCTCGCCGGAGACTCGGAGACTCTCACAGACGCCAGCGAGCAAAGCGAGCGAGCGAGCGAAACGGAGCCACAAAACGCCACGAGAAAATTCCGAAGGGAAGACCATGAATGGGTAGAAAGAGACAGAAGGGCTGAAGAAGAAGAAAAAGAACGCAAGAAATAGAAGGGCTTGAAACCATTGCAAACCTCTAGAAAAGTGATTTCTACTGACACCTGTTCGGACACCTAGGCCAATGTTCCTATTGCAAGTTGGCCACGAGGCTTGGAAATGTTGCTTCGGCCGCTCAGGCCGCAGTTGGAAGCGGAAGGGGAAGGAGGTTGGTACCCAAAAGGGCTCAGCACTTCAGGCAGAAATGGACCATCCTTGGAAATTGCTGAAAAGTGAAGGTGGTGATAAGGTTGCACCCCTCTGCCCCAAAAACAACTTCTCCGTGCGGAAGAACACTACAACACAATAGTCACGCGGGTTTGCAGGGCTGACGAGTCAGAAAGGACCGAAAAAGAACTGTAAAGCACGTGCGCCTTCAAAATCTGCCGTGCTGCATGCACGCCGAAGGATGGTCACTCGAATCATGTTTACTCGTCATCAACATTTTCACCGGGTGAAACAGCCCACAGCCACACGCATGGAAGTCCAGCCGCCCAAGACACGCATTTCGTTCAGTCGGCTTGGGACTGCAACTCATCCCGTGTGAGGGGCCTCAAAGTTTTTTTTGTATTTTTTTTTCCGGGAGAAGCGTGATATCAACACATGTCCCATCCGGAAAGGCAAAAGTCGAGAACTTCAAGCGGTAGGTTTGAATGTCAACTACGGAACTGTTGGCCATAAGCCAGGTTTTGACAGTTTTTCTCAGGATCATTCTTGGGTGAGCTCACATTGACAACTTTTGGTGACTACTCCAGCCAGAACAAAACTACTTGGTTCCCCAGGGTATGAGAAAATCGAGTTTGGGAAACTTGGGTCCCCCCCCTCCGCCTCATCCTCCCCAACTAAGAACAGCTATATAGCACAAAGCTGGGGTTGCCTTTGGTTTCACTTTGAAAGAAGGCCAAAAGAACAAAACGGGATCTATATGGGTGTCGCTCAAAATTAACGAGGAGTGGTTACTCAGGTTTTGGTCCATGTTTCCACTTACCAGGGTTCCATTTTGGTACCGGTTTTTTGAGCTACAGCCATATGGGTTTATGAGTCAATTTGGCTTTGTCAAATGAGTTCTGACGCACACCCGCCTGGGCCCTCTCCAGCTGCAGCGTGAGCCCTGCCTTGAGCACCTATGGGTTGGCCAATCCGGATCCGTCCGCATAGGGATTCCACTAAGGGTACCCCTGGCGCAGCCAGGTCCTCCAGTAGAGAGGTCAGAATAAGGGTACCCGGGTACCCTTTTTTCTGTAGTCTATTTTAGTAGTGGAACCCTCCCCAAAAAAGGGTAAAAGGGTAACAGGGTAGCTGCCCCATTCTTTCCACGGATCCTTCGTTCTAGAAAACCACCCAACACCTCGGGGAAACGGATCCGGTTTTTGAAAAGAACGATGGCTGAAAAGAATGGGGAATCAAGCCCTAGAATAATTCGCCTAGGGCTTCCACTACAAAGGGGACCCCTTGCGCAACCCCAGGTATGGATTGAGGCTTACCTCTGAACAGTCCAGTTTACCAGAATTTGCAATGCCTTCCCGAACTGGACAAACTCCCTCTGAACAAACCCACAACTGCCAAGCCAGTTTCTTTGGCAGCGGAAAAAAAAGGTGCTTCTTGGCCCAGCCAGGGTTTGGAAAACAAACCCAGGGCGAAGGGAAACGAACCAAAGAAACCCTTCGCAACAGGTTCCGACCTTCGGGCTTTGGTCTTCTGTTCAGCGATCGGATACTGAGCGTGTGCACCTGGCTCACAAAAAATGGAAGCCCTTGCTCACGAAAAAGGGTGTTTGGGGGAAATGTCCTCAAGTTTGGGCGGGTTGGCATCTGCGCACCTAGCAGTGGGAGATACGGCTAATGCTCACCCCAGACTAACACCTTGCGGATTGATACGCGTATTTAATTGTTTCCATCCAAAGCGAGGCGGACACCCGGATGAAAAGATCAACTAGAATCAACTGGGTTCCCAGTAAACCATCAACCCACCTGCACGAGGAACTTGGACAACCAAAGGCTTCTGTCCAGGGAACCACCACTAGCTCCTCCAGTGGAGAGCTTAGAGTAAGCGTACCCTTTTTTCGGTAGCCTATTTTAGTAGGGGAACCCTCCCAACCAAAAAAGGAATTGGCTACAAAGGGCACCAATTGCTGGGGGACCTAGAACCATTTGAGCCACTTGCTCAAAACCCGGAAAATTAAAATGGTCCAATTACCCAGCACCATGCTTCCAGAAGTAAGAAGCCGGATCTCCGCAACTATTTCTGGCCAGGGAATGGTCCCTTACGAACCGGATCACTTACCCGAATCCGGCCTCCAGTGGGAAAGACTTCTCGCGGTCGCTGCGCACTTTGGCCGCGGGGTAGCCTGCCGAAGTCGGAACATCCACCTGAACATTGCAACTTGTAAATGGCGTTGTGTCCCTTTACTTCATTTTGGTGTTGCAGAAGCAACATGTTTCAAATGGTGGCAAAATGTTTCCAACTTCATTTTGGTGTTGAAGAAGCAACATGTGTCAAATGGTTGTAAAATGAATTTCTTTTAAGGAGTCCTGTCGGATGAGAAACCCTGGCAGTTACCATGGCGACATATACCTTGCGCGGAGCTCTGCTGCTCACAAAAAGTGGGCTCTTAGGGAAGGTGGATTTGCCGAATGACTCGATTTGCCCAAGTGTTCCTTTTCAATGGACTTCTGAAACGCATTCTTCCCAAGTCTTGGGTAAGCAAGACTTCAACAAAGTGGCAAGACCACCACAGTTGGCTGTCGTTTTAGGCAATACTTAGGCCATCAACCTCCCGCAGAGCCTGGGCACCACCGCGAAGTCCGATTCGCGGCCCAAAACTCGATGATGCTTCCACCGAACAGATCTGTGTTGCCAATGCAATCTAGGGAAATATGGTTTGGGCGACAAGGTTTATTCAAAAGATTTCGGTGCAGGCCCTCGCAAGGTTCGCCTCTTCCCCAGTTTGGGGTTTGCTGGCGCAAGCCCTCAAAGGGTTCCGAAAGCCTGTGGGCTCGGCTGTAGATGGTCTGGGAGGAATCGCTACATGGATAGCACACCTGGTTGCAACCACCCAAAGGCATGGTTCTAAGTTCCCTATATACCAGGGGGACTAACCATTTAGCGATTCGTCCAAGACAACCTATGTGCCTGCCCCTGGATCAAAAAGAACTGGAGAGTTCGGTTGCTTGTTGAACACTTTGGTGAATGTGGGCCCATTCTCTTCTTTGGCTCCTCGCTTTGACCTGACAATTACTTCCCGGCAAATTGACATGGAGCCTTAAAAAGGGGATTCCTCTAGACCCCGGCAAAAAACATCTTTCTGCCGGGTTAGTGGAAAACAAAGGGAACCCCAAAAAAGCAAAAAGGGGAGCTGATTTTGGGAAGCAAAAACTATGGTTTTGCGGTTCACGAGTGTAGACCCTGTTACAAACTACATATCATGCTGTTTGCTTCAAAACTGAAGCTGGGACTCTCCAAATGAGACTATCGTTCTCTCCAGGAATCTTTCTTTTCAGACAATGTCCTTGCCAAAGCCTGAGAAAACGGCTGATTCCTGGAATCAACCTTTAGAGTTGTTCTTTTCATCCCGATCAACCAAACAAAAAGGGATCCAACATGTGTGGAAACGCTCATCTGGGTGAATTACAATCATTTGCGAACCCCAAAATAAAGAGACCCCACAAACTTCTGCGCTTTCAGCCACAAACCCGACCACACTCTTTGTGATTTTTGAACGAACCGAAACCCTGGTTAACACAATATATATATATATTATATATATATATATATATAAACAGGGCGTGTGAAGGTGCAACTTTGGGGAAACCCCTCTGTACCCATTAGAAGGTGGTTCCTGCCGTCGGGGAAGAGAGAGAGAGAGAGAGAGCTTCCCAGGCCTGCGCCGCACTTGCGCGCCTCCTCCTCATCGGCCGGCGCCACCTGAAATTCCCAAAGTCAGGCTTCGATCCAGGGCAGTCCGTGTTCCCCGCTCTTCCTGCATGCCACGCAAAAAAGATACCCATGGCTTGAGGGTTTGGGACTGGCAACTGAAGCAAGCAAATCCACCAGCAATTGCCATCTATTTGTTTGACTAAAACAACCCGAAAAAGGACACCGACGCTCAACGGCCGCTTGACTCCAAGCCGCCCCCTCGGTGAGCAGCTGCGTCTTCACGGAGGAGTCGGCGGCGATGTCCAGCAACCGCCGCTCCCCGCGGCGCAGGGCCACGAACCTGGGACCGGTGGCAAGTTGTTGTCGCCTATCCAGACTGGGAGGGTCGCTTTGAACTGGAGCAGTTGCTCTACGGGTTGATTCCGATTCCTTGCCCATTCTTTTCAATCATCGTTCTTTTCAAAAACCGGATCCGTTTCTTCTGGGGTTTTGATGGTTTCCTTGAAAAGAAGGATCCCTGGAAAGAATGGAATTGGCAGGTACCCCTGGGCTGCCCCCTCAGATCCCCCCCTAAAAGTTTAACTTTTAGTGGGTTAAATACGGAAACTGCCACTAAACAGTAAAAAGCTAGAAGGCTAAGGGGATGGCTGGGAGCCACCAAGGTTGTGAAGAACTGGAGCAGTTGCTTCGCCCATGAGCGGAGTGGGGGCATATGCTTTTGCAGCCGACGGAATGGATCTTACAGATGGCCCTGTTGCCTCTTGCAACATGTTTCAACAACTCAAGCATCCGAGTATTTTTTTTACGACTGATCTACTCAGTTGGCCTTAAGGTCACAAAGGTGTAAACTTTTTGTTTGGGCCTTTGCAGAAAATTGAAGAAACTGATCAATTTAAGCTAGCCAACCCAAACAGGCAAGGAATTGATGCCAACCCTTCAAAAGAGAAACAATCACAAGGATCGTTCGCTGGACCTTCGGTTCGCTCCCTGCCCCTTGCTCCACTGACGGAGCCACACCTCGCCAAAACCAAGCAGCTCTTCGAACGCGCACCAAATCCTGGAACCGCAGGAGCTTTTGGTGCTTAACATCTCCGGGTATACCACGCAAAGCTTGAAACTCTAGAAGCCACATGTAGGTGATATGTAGAAGGAGCTGGGGCACGGAAACCCGAGCGAATCGGGTGTAGCCCGATTTTGGAAGACCGGAAGCGAGACCCCTGGCCTTTTGCCAGTTGTGTTGAATGCGAGTTGGGCACCCCTCTGCAAGGGCGTTCTTGCATAATAAGGCAGACCGCGACTCGATGGAAAGCAAGTGGCCAGCTGGAAAAGAAAAACAAGCTGTCTGAATATATCAACTGCAAGCAGGGAGGACTCCTTCGTTGAGTAAATAGCAAACTCAGTAGGAAGCAAGTGGAAAGGTCCTCCTTGCCACTATCCGTGGCATACTGGCTTGACATTGAAGTTGTTCAGCGGTACGGCCCGGGCCCAGTATGCAGCGGAGAAAAAGAAAACACGGCAAAACATGGTCGAAGACCACATCCTCAAACCACCCTACTGTCTGCTACTCAAACAACGTCACCAACAATGTTGGTTGATTTGGGAAAACCTGGCTGTTGAGCCAAACCTCTGCATTCTCTGACTTTTGAGGCACTGCCCATTCAAGAAGCCACTTTTCCAAGTGCCCCAAATAAGTTGGGCCTTGCACTCACAAACCCCAAGATGAAACCTTGTACAGTGCTGGGAAAGCGCTGCTTCAGGGCCTTCAAGCAAGCCCAAACTTGCGCGAGTCCCCCGACAGGTCGAATGGTCAACATCCATCAGCCGCATCACCAGAACGCCTCTTTCCAGGCCGGCAGAAGTTCTCTCAGTTTTGGGGGGAGGGCGTCCATTGACAACATCCTTGGCAGGGCCAGAACATGCAAATGATGTTTGAGACCACAGAGAAGGATGTGCCATGTGTGTGTGTGTGTGTGTGCATTGTATCCATTCCCGTATCGCTTCTTCGAGAAAAACCAAAAAATACAACACCTGCAAAAACACTCCTACATGAAGCAAACAGCATTCTTGAGGCTAACTCACACATGAGTGGCATGTTGCGGGCCATCCCCCGTTGCGCTCGCTCTCGGGTTTGGTCCTCGTGAATGGCGTGGCCGGGCCAGAGTCTGCGGTGGCCTCGTCGAGGATGAGCAGGACCTGAGAGTTCCCGGCCCCCAAGTTTTGCCGTCCAAACCAGCCAACCAACCAGCCAACCAACCAACCAAGGGAACATGGACCAGCTAGAGTAAACAAAACAGCCCTGGGGGAGAAAAAAAACAACTCACCCCCTGATTTTTTTCGCAACCAAAACATGTTTTTGTTTATGTCCATTTGTTGGAGTGTGAGAAGTAAAACATGGCTTCCACGATAATTTGCAGGGGTATCAAGTGTTGGGCCCGGAGTAAGGCTTGCGCATTTCTGCAACTTTCTTTGAGGGGTGACCTTTTTCTTGGACCAATCTCATTTGTGGGCAACCCAAGATGGGTGGGTCCACAAAAGGTAAATGGGAGCCTCTTTGGGTACGGAGCCTAAGCCCACGAGAAACTTAACTTCTGGAAAACCGATGCTCCACAAGAATGGCGTTGCCTTCCCCGCCTCTCAACCTGTTTTTGTTTGGCCAGGTGTTTGCCCCCAAACCCTGGCTCCCCTTCGTCCCAAGCCCTGCCCTTTTGGGGCCACGCAATGAGTCAAGCGGCTCCCTTGGAGAGTTGCAGGGCCCGGAAGAAACTCGTCTCCCTGGGGTCTGCTGTGACCTCGCCCTTCAGCGCGTGCTGCCGGTTCGCGTAGGCGCACACCTCACGAGACTCGGCCGAGTTGGTCGCAGGCGGGAAGCGGCGTGCAACGCGCGGAGCCTAAGCGCGTGGCCCGGATTCTTTGGAGAAGACGCTTGGGCGACTGCCACGATTTCTCGGTTGGGAAGTTGAGGTGTTGAAACCCACGTCAAAGAATTGCGCCATCTACTTTCACACAACCGCAAAGGTATTTTTGCTTGACACGGACAATTCCTGGTGAGCCAAGCACACAGGGACTTAGTAAGGCACAAGCTGCTTCTGCAAGCAAACCTTGAACCGCCAATCATAGGTGACCTTTTGGACAAATAGATGGCCCTGGTAAATGAAATAACACTCATCTAAACCAGTGCATCCATTTCTGTGCAAAATAACCTAAAACGGACACCTAGGCGGCCAAAATCAAAACAAACCCATATCAAATCAAACAGGGCCCTCGGCAATCGGCCGGAGTGCGTGTGAAAGCCAAGCGGATTCTTTACCCAAGCGCAAGCTCAAGCTAAGAAGCCCGCAAAAATGCAAGGAGCAACCCCACAAACCAGTTCTAATGATTGCGGCCTTTATGTGGGCATGTTCTGTATCAGTTTGGGACCCTTTGGTGGACATCACGTTTGGGTGTCCTTCCGGGAGTACGGGCGTAATAGGTTGTAGTCCCAGGGTGCCATATCCCCCTTTCCTTTCCTATTGCCTTCCTTTTAGGGGCATGATCCCTTAGTCTTGGGGGTTGGGATGGCTCCAACTCTCGAAAGGAAAAAAAAACAGAAGAAACAAATATGTATTTATTTGTTTAAAAAAAAAAATGAAGAAGCAAAAAGAAACAATGAAAGAAAACATGATGGGGGAAGAAAAAAGAAGAAGAAGAAAAACGGAACATTGGCCAAGCTGCCCAGTAGCCCACAGTGTCCTCGGCTAAAACTGGTGGTCCGGCTGGCTTCTGAAGCCCAAGCCAATCTGCTCATGGAGAAACACGCATGGCTTTTTGCGGAGGGATTTCTCTTTTTCATATTTGCGGCTTTGTTTGGGGGGATTTCTCTTTTCCGCATTTATTTGCGGAGTAGTCGTTCCCGTGAGTTGTGACAGGGGTACGAAAGGGTTCTCCCCAGCTGTGGTGTCCCAGTGCATTCTGCAACCTCAGCTTTGAAACAAACAAGTCCCGCCCCTGTGGAAAGGAAAGGGGACTCTTGCTTGGATCCGCGGCACGAAGTGTCAGGGTCCCAGAAAGGTAGCAAATTGTTGGACTGACCAAGGGGGACGAAGGATTCGATCTGAACAACACGTGTCATGAAAACCGCTTGCGACTTCAGCTGGCGATCTGTCCCTCGCAGTTTCTGTTGCGGGTTACACATGGCCCATCCCAGTGACAGACTCCGACAAAAAGTGGTTCAACCTCCAAAAGTGGTGGGTCTAATCACCCTTCAAAAGCGACTTTGACCACAAGTAATTTCACCACCAAAAACAAAATGGTCACTTCAACAGGGCTGCTCCCAAGGAATGCAGAACCCCCCCCCTCTGCGAAATACATGGCGCCAGCGATTTTGAGGAGCCCCCGGTGTCAGTTCAAAAATCAGACCCCCCCGAAACAAAAAAAACAAAACGGCCACTTCCCGCCGTATCCGACGGCGTTTCCGCCGTGTCCGTCTTTAAAGAGAAAACCAAGGCACGGGCAGATCCCGGATCTTCCGGTGCAGCTCCACACAGCGGTGGAAGGCAACGATGGGCTCGCCCCACCTCAGGCGTGCGGCCTCGCGATTTGACCCACTCGAAGGTTTGATTCTATCGTTTGATTCAAATGGATTTGACCCACTCTAAGAGAACGATGGTGTCTAAATGGCATTCTTTTCACCCATCGTTCTCTTCAGACACCACCTATTTTCCAGTGGTTTGGCCCGTTTTTGGAAGAGAAGGATCCCGGAAGAGAATGGGGAGGTAGACATAGACCCACGGCGAGCCCAAACAGCCGGGAAAATCGGCCAGCGGTTCTTTCTGCTGTTTCTTGGGGCATGGGCAAAATCCGCTGGGCTGTTTCCTGAGGTCGTGAGCAAATCGATCACCTTGTGCAAGGTCAAACAACCCAAAGGAGGCTTGTCCGCTCCGAATGCCGGCCATATTAAAATGCACACTCGAGCTCGCTGGCAACTTTCCCCTTTCTCTGGTAGCTTGATACCATTCCCCTGAGTGACTCCTGGAAAAAAAAACAAAAGAAACAATAAACGCGACTCCCCTGAGTGACTCCTTGAAAACTAAAGAGAAGAAGGAGAAGAAAAAAAAAACATGACTCCCCTGAGTGACTCCTTGAGAAAGAGAAGCAATAAAAACAAAAAAACGCGGCTGGGGTTCCTTTTCCCTGAGTGACTCCTTGAGAGGAAAAAACGAAAGACACGGCTGGGGCTCCCGGCCAGTGGGACACGAACCACTCCGGCACCTGGGACTTCTCCGACAGCAGCTCCACCATGGCACAGTTCCGCTCCTCGGAGAGAGAAACCGCGGTCGGACAAGGGCTGAACGTCCGAATGGATCCTTGGAGAGTCGGCGATGTCCAGAGATTTGGGGGCTGAATGGAAAACTTCGGGACCCTTTGGTGGACATCAATCCATGTCCAGCAACCACTTTGGAGGGGGTCAGATTTCGATATGGATCCGAATGACTCCCCGGTTGGCATTGGAACCCGAAAAGGACAAATGGGAGTGGGTCCAAAAATTACACCCCCAGAAAAAAACGCAGGAACAAGTCCCTTTTCCCATTTACCAGGGTTCCAGAGTGGGTACCAAGCTTTGACCCACACCCATTTTGGGTCTGAATTTTACTTCGGGACCCTGTGGTCTGTGGTGGACATCATATCACGTGGGGATTTCTCGCCCACCAACCACTTTGGAGGGGGTTCCTTATGAAATGTCATAGCCATTTCGCATCTGAACACCTCTTAGGGAACCCTCTTCAGCACGTCCCGAGCACGTCGAAGCTTGCACACCCGATTTTTCTCTCCGAAAGAGCGCCCGCCTGGGTCGCAGGAATGATAACCCAGGCAGTCAGGTGGTAGAGGTTGAGCATCTCCAAGGACAGTGCCTTCCCTGGCGCACCGTGCTCAAACCTTACATTATACATCTGAACATTGCCTTGTAAATGGTGGTTTCCCTTCATTTTGGTGGAACAAGCCATGTTTTAAACGGGCAAAATGTATCTTTTAAGGAGCCCGGTTATTAAACCCAAGTTGATGGCTAAGTTCGCTGGCAGAGTGGGAAGTTGCTGCCCGCCTTTTTTTTTTGCAGATCCAAAATGATCCAACCTCGCGGCCGTGGGGCCACAGCCAATTCCCTGAGCCTCTCGCAAACGCTCCTCGTAGCTTCTGCCAAGAATCTGCAACGATTTGGGCTCTGAAGGCAACGCAAGCTTTGCCATCTATGTGGGGCTTGATCAAGAGCTCCGTACATGATCAGCAAAAGCCACTTGGAGTTCCCAAAGTCGTGCCTTTGGGAGCCCGGGGAAGGCTTTTGGAACACATCTTCCTTGGGCTTGGCACAAGGCCCAAGGCCCAAGGCTTGGCGCAAGGGCACAGCTCCGTTGAACACATCGCAAGGGCTTGGCACAAAGCCCGGCACAGCCGACCCGGCGAGGCGCCGCAGGTCTTCGAGCGCTGGTTGAAGTCATGCCACTTCCTGCCCGCGCACGTGACAAAGCCACCGAGGGGTCTGGACCGAGCTCAGATGTGCGAAAGAAAGAACCAAACCCCTGAGTCCTTCAAAGGGAACAAGAAAATGGGTTCTTAAAGGGTTAACCTTCAACGAATGGTTGTTCAATCAGGGTTAAGCTTCAACGGGTCACAACATGGTGATTGAACATCTGGCTGGCAGCCAAAAAGCCTGGGGCCCAACGGAGGTTCGGTGGCCAAGCAGAACGTGGAGCTTCGGTGGCCAAGCAGAACGGGGTTGGAAAAGAAAGACCCAAGCCGCTCTATCTACCCTGATCGAAACCCACTGGGATCCGCAATCCGTTTCATCCTTGTTCGGGTTGGCAATCGTCTTCCGCACTCCGCGCTGCAAGCTACGATTTGAATCCTTATGTCGGAGCAGTGAAAACCTATGCAACTCATAATCTGTAATCCGTACAGAGCGCGGTCCAATCCTTTAATTGCACAATCCGCTAATCATTGGGGAGTATGCTTTTCACAAGCTAGTCAAAGGAACCTGAAGGAAAAACCACCAAAAGGTGAGCAAAACCATTTCACTTGCATTTTCACTTGCATTAGCTAGAAGGCAACTGGCTTCACCTTGCGGCTTGCTCGAAAACTACTCAAGCCTTCCCAAGGCAGTGAAAAAGGAAATGGGGCCGAAATGTATTCGAGTGGGGGTGTGGGGTATGTTGAAACCATATGGCTGCCTCTGTTTTGGGGGGACCCTTCCAAGATGGCGGCTGTCCTTTTGGTTTCCTACCCGCCCCATTCTTTCCAGGGATCCTTCTTTCCCCACAAGAAACCCAAGGAAAACGGATCCGGGTTCTAAAAAACAAAAGAACGATGGTTGAAAAGAATGGACAAGGAATCAAGCCCTAGAGGTTTCCCAACAAAAACCATCCCAAAAAGGGTGCCCTCAAAAAGCCTCAAAAACGAAAACACACACACACACACACATGTATCTTTAGCGTCTGTGTGTGTGTGTGTGTGTGCGCGTCAGAGGCAAAAAAACGAGCACTTCTCGAGCCGAGCCCTTTCGCCTGCAGTGCTCTTGGGCGAAGCTGAGCACCACGGCCAGCTGCTCTGGAGAAATCGCCCCTGAGAGATGGGTGTGGGTCAAAATTAAGCAACTGTGGGTACCAACTGGGTACCAACTGGGTACCAACTGGGTACCAACTGGGTACCAACTGGGTACCAACTGGGTACCAACTGGGTACCAACTGGGTACCAACTGGGTACCAACTGGGTACCAACTGGGTACCAACTGGGTACCAACCAACTGGGTACCAACTGGGTACCAACTGGGTACCAACTGGGTACCAACTGGGTACCAACTGGGTACCAACTGGGTACCAACTGGGTACCAACTGGGTACCAACAACTGGGTACCAACTGGGTACCAACTGGTACCAACTGGGTACCAACTGGGTACCAACTGGGTACCAACTGGGTACCAACTGGGTACCAACTGGGTACCAACTGGGTACCAACTGGGTACCAACTGGGTACCAACTGGGTACCAACTGGGTACCAACTGGGTACCAACTGGGTACCAACTGGGTACCAACTGGGTACCAACTGGGTACCAACTGGGTACCAACTGGGTACCAACTGGGTACCAACTGGGTACCAACTGGGTACCAACTGGGTACCAACTGGGTACCAACTGGGTACCAACTGGGTACCAACTGGGTACCAACTGGGTACCAACTGGGTACCAACTGGTACCAACTGGGTACCAACTGGGTACCAACTGGGTACCAACTGGGTACCAACTGGGTACCAACTGGGTACCAACAACTGGGTACCAACTGGGTACCAACTGGGTACCAACTGGGTACCAACTGGGTACCAACTGGGTACCAACTGGGTACCAACTGGGTACCAACTGGGTACCAACTGGGTACCAACTGGGTACCAACTGGGTACCAACTGGGTACCAACTGTTTGCTCAACATGAAGCAGTTCCAAGCTCCCTAAACTAACATTAAGTGGTCATGGGTCAAAATTAGTCGCCACCAGGAATTGGACCGCAGGTATCAGGGCAAGCCATTTTGGGGCTACTTTTTTTTTGACCCACAGCCGTATGGGACCCCCAAAAGAACTGGCCGCCGTTGGGCGGTTGTTCTTTTGGCGTCCTTTCCTTGAACACCAGCCAAAAAGGGGAGCCCTATGTTGAGAACTGCTCAAATTGATACACCGAAGGCCTACGTCACGGTGATTTGGGGGTCCTGTGCACACCATCGAAGGATCCGGGTGCAAGGCAGTGATTCCATGCTCTAGTAATGTCATTGCACGATTGGTAGACCCTCCCCCTGATTGAAGGGTGTCCACTCTGCACGCTCTTGAAGGGGCCAGAACTCAGGACGAGGACCGAAGGGGCTCCAGATTTAGTGGGGCGGTTCTCCCAAAAACCGAAGTTTGGGGGGCTTGTTGAAACCTTGTGGACCTTGAAGCGGCCGGGAGGGGGGGCGGGGGGGACCTGTACTAATCAGGGTAACATGACCGCCCTAAACATCTTGGGACTCAACGAGGTGCCTTTTGGAGATTCTTTTCCTCACCCTTCCAACGGAAATTCCCGAAAATCGCCCGAAAACGGTCCAATGATGACACCACAACGAGAGCCTGTCAGACTGCCCCTTTTTTGTAGTACGGCACAGAACCCAGCTGTTCTTGTGGACGCAACTCATAGAGGCAAGGCATGGCTTGAACGGAGATACACGCCCCACATGTTAAACCTGAACATGAGGGGTCCGGTCCCAGAAACACACTTCATCTTGGAACCCGGTGCTTTACCCCAGATCGCTGCTTCCTCGCACATTCATTTGTGCCAACGGGGCACTACTTGCAAGGGAGAAATATGAGACATGGGGCCTGCACACACAGCCATCATGCTGTGGATGGACGAAATCCATCTCGCACCACCTAAGAAACCCAGGAATGATGATTTCCCTGTAGTCCCAACAAACAATGGTTTCCAAGTGTTGCGAAATGGATTTCATCCATCCACAGCAACTCTAGCTGCTTCTCAGGACTGTCCTAGAGCCGGGGTGCTTAGCTAGGTCCTCCAGTAGAGAGGTTAGAATAAGGGTACCAGCCTTTTTCTGTAGTCTATTTTAGGGGAAGCCTCCCCCCCAAAAAAATAGACTCTGGTGATATCCCCACCAGCATGCGGTGCTCTTTTTAGTGCTCGCACCAGCCCTCGCAGAACCTCGTGCTGGAACCCTGGTGGAACCCTCGTGGAACCCTGGTGGAACCCTTGTGGAACCTTACCTCAGGGCCGCCCCGGACCACCCCGGAGCCTATCTGGGCTGAGACCTTTCAGCTGTTGGGGAAAAAAGGGTAAAAGGGCACCAATTGCCGGGAAAACCTAGTTGGCTTACTCTAAATTTGCCTTGCGAGCGTCGGGACGCTCGGGACCCGAAAATGGCCAAAGTCTCCTGCTTACCAAAACCCACGGCCAGGCGGCTGAGCTCCGTCTCTTCGATGTAGCCGCGGAAGGGGAAGGCCACTTGCCTCACGTCTCAACGTCTTTCGCCGCCTGTTTCTCCCATTGAAAACATCAAAAGGGTAGAAGCCGATTTCACCCCTTTTTGGGCTGCAAGTTTGAAATCAGTTTCCCTTTAACTTTTGACTGTCCAAACATTCAGCAGTACCTCAACCGTGTTTCTTCTTCTTCTTCCCCCCCGATCCAACGCGCAAACCATTTCGCTATACATCAAGATACAACCACTCAACTGGAGAGATCCCAAGACCGTGGGTCGAAACTCAAACCCATAACGTTG